CAGCTGTAAAAGGCGGCCCCGTCCAGGAAACACACAGCCAGGCAGACGAGCTCCGAGGCAGCTCCCATGCCAGAGGACGAAGAGAGCACATCCACTCAGTCACGGTCAGAGAAACAGGACCACACTGGAAAACAGGCCGATCTCCAACATCTATTAACAAGGGTGTTGATAGAAGCAGCACAGCTGATATTTTTTTCCAGGATGACGTCACAGCCAAACAGGAACAGACGAGGCAAAGCTACTCTGAGGAAAAGCAGAGAGAGCAGAAGGTTAGAGATTGAACTAACAGATTCTGCAGAATAGGAGAACAGAGAGAGAATGAAGCAGAATGATGAAATGGGGGTCCCTATGTCCTCCAAAAGTCTAAGCCTATAGCAGCATAACTATAGAGATAGCTCAGGATAACCTGAGCCACCCTAACTATAAGCTTTATCAAAAATGAAAGTTTTAAGCCTAGACTTAAAAGTAGACAGGGTGTCTGCCTCACGGACTAAAACTGGTAGTTGGTTCCACAGGAGAGGAGCCTGATAACTAAAAGATCTGCCTCCCATTCTACTTTTAGAAATTCTAGGAACCACTAGTAAACCTGCAGATTGAGAGCGAAGTGCTCTGTTAGGAACATAAGGAACAATCAGATCTCTGATATAAGATGGAGCTTGGCCATTTAAGGCTTTATATGTGAGAAGGAGGATTTTAAATTCTATTCTTGATTTAACAGGAAGCCAATGAAGAGAAGCCAGGATAGGAGAGATATGATCTCTCTTTTTCATTTTCATTAGAACTCTGGCTGCAGCATTTTGGATCAGCTGAAGGCTTTTAACTACAGTTTGTGGACTTCCTGATAGTAAAGAATTACAATAGTCCAGCCTTCAAGTAACAAATGCATGGACTAGTTTCTCAGCATCACCCCTGGACAGGATATTTCTAATTTTTGCAATGTTCCTCAGATGAAAGAAGGAAATTCTAGAAACCTCTTTGATATGGGATTTAAATGACAGGTCCTGATCAAAAATAACACCAAGATTTTTTACTTTATTATCTGAAATCAGTTTAATCCCATCCAAATGAAGTGACTGGCTAATCAGTTTCTTTTTCAGAGACTCTGGTCCAAAGACTATAACTTCTGTTTTGTCTGCATTCAGAAGCAGAAAATTAAGAGTCATCCAGGTTTTTATGTCTTCAAGACATGCCTGTAATCTATGTAATGGGTTAGCTTCATCTGGATTTATAGACAGATATAGCTGGGTATCATCAGCATAACAGTGGAAATTAATCCCATGCTGTCTAATAATTCTACCAATTGGGAGCATGTATAAAGTAAAGAGAATTGGTCCTAGCACTGATCCCTGTGGTACTCCACAGGTAACCTTTGAGCGTGTTGAAGATCTATCATTAACATGAACAAACTGAATTCGATCAGATAGATAAGATTTAAACCAGTCTAGTGCTGTTCCTTTAATTCCAACAAAATATTCAAGTCTTTCTAAAAGAATATTATGGTCAACTGTATCAAATGCAGCACTAAGATCCAACAGGACGAGCACAGATACAAGTCCATTATCTGAGGCCATGAGAATATCATTAGTGACTTTCACCAGAGCTGTTTCAGTGCTATGATGAGCTCTAAAGCCAGACTGAAACTCTTCAAAAAGTTCATTATGGTGGAAGTGATCGCAAACTTGTTTGGCAACTACTTTCTCAAGAATTTTGGATAAGAAAGGAAGATTGGATATAGGTCTATAATTGACCAAGTCATCTGGGTCAAGAGACGGTTTCTTAAGCAGAGGTTTAATTACAGCAATCTTAAAAGCTTTAGGTACATATCCCTGTAACAGAGATAGATTAATCACATCTAAAATGGAGGAGGAGATCAAAGGGAATACCTCCTTAAATAACCTGGTTGGAACTGGATCTAACATACAAGTTGAAGGCTTAGATGAAGACAATAATTTTGCTAATTCAGAGAGTTCAACTGGATCAAAGCAGTCTAAACCCGGTTCAGATTCCATGACTACCTCAGGTACAATCGCGGATAGAGGAGTGCTTATGATCTTATTTTTAATAAGATCAATCTTATTTATAAAGAATCCCATAAAATCATTGCTGCTAAGAGCAGGTGGAATGGACGGTTCAACAGAGCTATGGCTCTGGGTGAGTTTGGCAACTGTATTAAAAAGAAATCTAGGATTATTCTTATTCTCCTCTATTAATGAGGAGAAGTATGCTGCTCTTGCTTTACAAAGGGTCCTCTTATACAGCAGTAAACCATTTTTCCAGACTAGGAAGGACTCTCGCAGGCCTGTGGAGCGATATTTTCTCTCCAGTTTCCTAGCATTTTGCTTCAAAGTACGCAGCTCTGCATTAAACCAAGGAGCAAGCTTTCTATTTTTAACGGTTTTCATTTTCAAAGGAGCTGCGTTGTCTAAGGCAATACGCAGAGAACTAGCAACCCCCTCAACAAAATCATCAACCTGTGAAGGGGAATAAGCTAAGCTTTTGCACTCTGCAGCACTGCTCAGTGACACAGAGCAGAGAGAAAGTGAAGCAGATTCTTTAAAATTTATAACTGCACTATCTGATAAAGATCTACTAAAATTGAACCTTCTTTTGGGGGAGGAGAACTCTGTTAAAGTAATCCTGAAGGTTATTAGAAAGTGGTCAGAGAGGACAGGGTTGTGAGGAAATACTGTTATTTCTTCACATTCTATGCCGTATGTCAGCACAAGATCCAAAGTATGAAGATGAGAATGCGTGGGACTATTCACATTTTGAACAAAGCCAATAGTGTCTAAGATAGCATTAAAGGCTGCTCTTAAGCTATCGCCTTCAATGTCAGCATGGATGTTAAAATCTCCCACTATGATGACCCTGTCAGTATTTAATACCAAATCAGAAAGGAACTCTGAAAACTCATCTAAAAATTCAGAGTAAGGACCTGGTGGACGATACAAAGTTACAAAAAGAAGAGGTTTTCTTGCCTTGAAATTTGGATCAGGGAAATTAAGGGTTAAATGTTCAAAAGAGTTGTAGGAATTAATTGTTTTGGGAGTAATCAGTAAGTCAGACTGGAAGATTGTTGCTACTCCTCCTCCTCGCCCAGAACTTCTGGGGATGTGAAAATTTAAATAGCTTGAAGGAGTTGCCTCATTTATGCTCACATAATCCTCTTGCTGCAGCCAGGTTTCTGTAAGGCAAAACAAGTCAATGTGATTATCACAAATCAAGTCATTAACTAGTAGACTTTTAGAGGAAAGCGATCTTATGTTAAACAGACCGCATTTAATTGTTTTAACTTTTTCCCCAATTGGAGTTATTTTGATTTTAATTAGATTATCATGATTTACTCCTTTGGGAATCTTTGCTAATTTATTAGATTTTGGTCGTGGGCAAGACACTGTCTGGATGGAGTAAAGAGTGGGTAACAGTAGAGAAGCTGCAGAGATGTGTGTTAAACTACAACTCTGCTTCCTGGTCTGCACCCTGGGTGGTCAGGGTTTTGGAGGACTAATAAATGTGGCCAGATTCCTAGAAAGAAGAGCTGCACCATCCAAAGTGGGATGGATGCCGTCTCTCCGAATCAGACCAGGCTTTCCCCAAAAGGATTGCCAATTATTAATGTAGCCCACGTTGTTTTCAGGGCACCACCTAGACAACCAGCGATTGAATGACGACATGCGGCTAAACATGTCATCACTGGTCAGATCAGGGAGGGGACCAGAGAAAATTACGGAGTCCGACATTTTTTTGGCAAACTTACACACCGAAGCAACACTAATTTTAGTGACCTCCGATCGGCGTAACCGGGTGTCATTACCACCAGCGTGAATAACAATCTTACTGTATTTAACCTTATCCTTAGCCAGTAGTTTCAGGTAGGATTTGATGTCGCCCGTTCTGGCCCCCGGCAAACATTTGACTATGGTCCCTGGTGTCTCTAATGCCACGTTTCTGACTATGGAGCTGCCAATCACCAGAGTGGGCTTCTCAGTGGGTGTGTCACTGAGTGGGGAAAACCGGTTAGAAACGTGAACGGGTTGGTGGTGACCAGTGGGCAGAGATCCACGACTAATCTGACCATAAAGCTGATATATAAAACAAGCAGCATTAATATTTTATTTCTTAGCGCGCATGTGTTAAAAACCCATTAAATACCTCAACTCCCTCTTTTAACAATTTGTCTTTTTCTTCTGAACACATTAAATTCCAGCTGCTGCAGATGATTGTTAAAGAGCAAACATCAAAGCAATTCTTACTAGTTTTGGGTCTCAGCTGTTTTTTTGGGGATTGTTTTTTGCCAAAAAATATTCAAGCTTCCAACTGGAGAAACAAATCATTTAACATACATTCACACTTTTCAAGCTGTTTTGTTCGGTACTGCTCGAGGTCTAAAAATGATGCTATGCTGCACATTGTAACGCCTGCTCAGCCGAGTACAACGGCAAAACAGGGCATTGGGACAATTACACATAATTACCTCATAATGCTTGTTAGGGGTTGGGTTTGTGCGTGTACGTTCATGCAGAAAGTGTGTATTTGCCGATGCTCGTGACAAGCGGCGTTCATCAGTCTCCATATTTGTTTTGTCACAACACACCTGTCTCGGTTACGCACCATAATCTGGGTAGATAAATCACATTACGGTCCGTCGATGCAACTGAGCGCCGCACTGCCACAGCACCATCGATAAAGCCAAGCCGTCGTAATAAGTTTCAATCAAACTGTGATGACGGTGGTTTGATTCTGTATTGGGGGATTTTTTTGTTGTTTTTTTTGTACTTTCTGCCTCTCCTTTTGTTTTTCAGCCAGGGATTTTTCTTCATTAAAAAGCATTCACATGCTGTATGGTTTTCTAGGGTATCAGATATGACTCTGCCTTTAGCATTTTGTTACCTGTCTCTGTGTATTTCTATTTTCTAATCCAATTGAATGTTTTTGGATGAAGGTACATTCAGTCCTTCTATAACCTTTTCTTTATTTCTTTTGTCCCTTTGTACATCTAGTTGTTCCCAGAGACTGGACCACGTCAGGGGGGAACCAGGTTGACCATCTGGGGGGAAAACCTGGGCCTACAATTTCGAGACATCCAGATGGGAGTCAGGCTGGGAAAGGTGCCCTGTGTGCCAATTGAAGAGGAGTATATCAGTGCCGAGAGGTGAGTCCAAGAAAACGTGCATGTATGAACAGTTTTTATAGAACATCACACACAGCTAGCTTTTCTTTTATCATAAAATCACATTTTGATGTTTAAACAGAGGCCTTCAGTTCTAAACACTAGAAAGTCTTTTTATAACCATATCTTTGGTAACATTGAACACTTGGTCAAAAGGGAAGCCATTCTTTTTATCATACGCTCAGTCAAAGTGTTCCAAAAATTTTAAATACTGGCAACTGCTAACATTACATTTCCTGTCTTAATACATATGAACTCTTTGTATAGTTCAGTTTGCTGTGGAAGGTCTAAATCAATAAAAAAAAAAAAAAAGTTTATAAAAAAAACAAGTGGAATTCAGTTTTTGTGTTTGAAAAGGTCGGTCCTGCATCTTGCTTTTCAATTCAGCACTTGTTTGGGTGAATTCCCTTTTTTTAAGATATTTGGAAATATTCATTCAGCAAATCTAAATGGATTTTCAGGTTGGTCTCCATTAACAAACATTTAATAGCTCTGTGTGTACCATGGGTCATGAGAGAGAAGTTTTATTCTTATTAATTCTTATTTATAATTATTTATTCTAAATTATTATGTTGTAATTTATAGCACCCATCTAAAGAAACATTTTAAACAGTTTAGTTGGCTTGGAGCTTGTCTGCCCGGGTATATGTTTCCTGGACGGGGCCATCTGTAGGGCTGGTTGAAATTTGCCTTTTGTATGTCTGCTTCTGTCTCCTCGGCCTCGGCAGATGGTCGCTCACACTGAGCCTGGTTTTGCTGGAGGTTTCTTCCTGTTAAATGGAAGTTTTTCCTCTCCACTGTCACTAAAAGGATGCTTAGTTTAAATTGATGCAATCAACTGGTTGATTACAATGCGCTATTTATTTTAGGGATTTGAAAAGGTGATTAATTAGACCTTTTTAACGGTCCGAAAAAAATTTGTACAAATCTTTTAAATTTTTAAAACTTGTTTCCTATTAAAACTATGAACACGTTTGTATGTTGGATTTGAATTATTCAAATACAAATAGACAAACAAAAGCATTCCATTTATTTTGACAAAGTAAAAGAATACATCATAAGGTCTGTCTATGGCATACTGAGAAGAGTCATTAATTCAAGCCACACTTTTCAGATTTATTTTATTCAGTCATTTAGTTTCAATTTCTATACCAGATAGATCAAACTTAAGTTTGTGTTTGAGATCTGACCAAACAATCAAATCATTATGGATATGTTAACCCAAGAAACACACACTCCATCCCACAACCCACACTTACTTTCCAACGTTGACCGAAGAAACTAAAGGAGCATTCAGAAAGGTTTCTATGAACTCACCGCCTCAAACAGGAACAGAATTAGAAGTGACATCGGTTTGGTGTTTGTCTGTAATCTGTCTCTCATCCCTCTCCATCACTCAATGAATCTTCTCCTTCCTTGATTTTTTTTCTAATCCTTCTGTCCTGACATTTACTCCTCTGCAGAGTCCTACACAGCTGAGGAATTGAGTTCATGCAGTTCAAACAATCTCCCTGAAGTGCAGTTAGTCAGGAAATGATGCATGTTGAGATGGAGGGCGTCTCAATTCCAATATTGCACACGCATTCGTTATTCGGCATTATTTTTGTTGCTTTGCAACTGCTTCCACTTCAGAATGATGCATTACACTTTAGCATTCTTTCAGAATCGTTTAGATAAAGATTAGGATCTCTTTTATTCGGGTTCTTTGATATAAAAGGCCTTACCTCAATGTGTGTAAGGCTTCATTTAGGCTTCAGCCCTGAAGCTTAAATGTTCTTACTTTTGTCAATATAGTGAAATTCTGTTCATTTTAAAAATGTTAGGAATAAATATTTCATTCTTTCCATCTGCAGAATCGTGTGCTTGCTGAATGATGCTACTGGCTACAGGGTCCAAGAAGCTCAGGTCGAGGTGTGTGTGAGAGACTGCGTCAATGACTATAGAGCTTTGTCACCAAGGCCATTCACCTTTGTGGTAAGGAAATTCTTCTAACGTTTTTTTTTTTTTTTTATAAAAAGAAAATATGAATTCCTCTGAGAAATATATTTTACTCAATATACAGCTTAAATGTATTATCTATGATTATTCTCCTAAATTTTACTCATAGAAGCTGAAGTAGAAATCTTTACGTTTTACAATAATGATGGTTCAATGATTAAGCCAGAACCTAAATGTTTTCTATATATATGTGTACATGTTTTCTATAGGACGTATCTCACAATAGTTGAAACACTGAAGGCCTCAATTAAAATTGATCTGTATATTGAGGCTTTTTTGGGGGGCTTTTTAGTCATTAGAAATTGTAGCCTTTCTAAAAGTAAAAGGTCCAATCACTCTCGTCCGTTTCCAGTATTTTTATCAATCAAAAAGATGCTAAATATGGTGCAACAGCTCCATCATTTCTTTGTTATTGTTGGTGTACCTTTAAGAAATAGACAAAGTGTTATTGTTCTTTTCTGATCTGATTTTCTTCATGAAACTCTGACCTGCTGATAACCATTTTAGTTGCTTGTGATTATCTATAGGAACTCTACTTTCTAGCCCACCTGCAATTACTGATCATGGAAATGAATATTTTCACCCAAAGGCTTTACACTCTCTCTGTGTTGAAGGGATTCACTGTTATCTTCTTAAAGTTCAAACATGAGTACAGTTTTGTATTATTACAGTTAGTATCTTTTACTACCACATTTTTTGTGCCATTGGGGTTAGAAGGCAAGTTTGGTTTATGTTCCCTAAACAATCCAGCCTCTTTCCTTGATTTTAAAATTTCAAGAAGCCTAAAAACTACACAAGATTCATCAAATGTTTAGTAAATCAGGCTTTGTTCAGGAAAGGTTGTTTATATCAAGCGTTTCATGTCTTTAACATGACATGTGTTGTGAATTGGTGCTATATATCTATAAAATGAATAGAATTGACAAACATTCTTTATTGAACAAGTCAAACTGTAAAAGCAGAGCCAGTCATGTCAACAATTGTCCAATTCAGATCTCTAAAGGATTATTGGCTATAACTTTACAAATAACAGTTTTATATGTTGAATTAACTTGATTTAAATCAGAATCTCATAGCTAGAATAAGTTAGGCCTCCTTAAAGGATTTGACTTTTGGTTTTCTGAAGTTATTTAACAGATAAACTTCCCTTACCTGTATTATTAGTCTCTTTCCACTATAGTTAGGGGAGGTATTTCTCAAACTAACTGGTAACTCTTTCTAACAAGATTGGTGATAAAAAAGTCTTTGAGAGGACTTCCTGGACGGGGTCGCCTTTTACAGCTGCTTTTTGTATCTCTGCTTCTGTCTCCTTAAACCCCAGTCAGCCTCAGCAGATGGTCGCTCACACTGAGCCTGGTTCTGCTGGAGGTTTCTTCCTGTTAAAAGGGAGTTTTTCCTCTCCACTGTCGCTACAAGCATGCTTACTGTGAGGGATGCATTCGAGTCACTTCGTCAAATCAACTGGTTTTCCTTACATAGAAAACTTTGAATCAATTTGACTTTATGATCTGTGCCTTTAGATGACACATGTTACGAATCGGCACTGCATAAATAAACTGAATTAAATAAATAATAATTATTGAGGAATAAACAGAATACTGTAAATCTCTGCCACCGATGTTACAGTGAAATCAGTCGTCCTCTCTTTTCTAAAGCCCTCTAGACATTTTCCCTTACATTTGCTCTATAATCAACAGTTTTGCATTTCGGATGATAAACAAACATAGAGCTTGAAGTGATTGGCTGTTTTTAATCTCCTTTGAGTTTGACCATTTTTCATCTGAAGAAAGCTTCTTATCAGTGTTATAGCTTATTTCTGCAATCTTCAGTTGGGAATTGATTTGATCAACCAATATTGAATTTAGTCACATTTTGTCTTACAACAAAATAGTTTTAAAAAGTCAGTCACACGGAAGTGAATTCACAATAAAAATCTTAGAAGAAATACATACTGTAAAAATGTAAAACTTGTTTCACATACTTAATAACATATAATTTAAATAGTTTTTTTAATGTTTTTTTTTTTGTTTTTTTTTGTGCTCAGATATATTTTCAAACATTTTGCTGATACTAAAGCCAGACATAAAATGTACAATTTTTTGCCCTTTGATTTTTTGATCGAGCTGACTTTCAGCCTGATTGTGTGTCCTGCATCGTGTTGCGTACGGGGGATAACAAGGGGCGATCAGCCTCTCACGACCACTTCCTGATCAGGAATGTAAGGTCGGGAGAAAATCAAATATGTTTGAAATTCAGTAGGCCGTCGTTGGGTCGCATCCGAGCGTGGAGCCACACAGTGTGAGAACATGCATCGTAACATGTGAACTTTTAAACCCTGTTGTTTTGTCGTTCAGTTTGAGCTGTAGTCGAAAATATTTTAATGCCGGGCTTCAGGATGCTCTGAATGTTTTTTCAGCAGCAGGTTTCACACTGAAGGGTGTTTCTTTCAGGCTCCAGACGGTTTCTTAGAAATGTTGTTTTTTCTTTCCTCCAGACTCCTTATTTCACTCGAATCCAGCCGTCTCAGGGACCCATTTCGGGCGGCACCAGGGTCACCATTGAGGGGAGCTATCTCAACGCAGGCAGCTATGTGTCAGTCAGCATCGGGCCACAGCCCTGCCACTTTAAGAGGTGAGAGACATTTCTATGTGTTTTCCTTTCTAATATCAGTTTTTGCAATTAACTTTCCTCGTGATACAGAGATGACAACCCAGCAAAACATTTGCAAGATTAAAGACATGCTGTTTGAAGATTTTTGAATGTGTACATCTGTAACATGTCACTATCATAACATGTGTCAGCATGTAATCAGTGTGTCAGGTTAGGTGGTTTTTGTGTGTGGGATAAAGGCTTCTTGTAATACGTGTGTATGTGTGTGCATGCTTGGTGCTGTCTTTCTGCACATCATCTCTTAGTAAGAACTCGCAAAAGCTTTCCCCGTAATCTATGGCACAGAGGAAGAAGAAAGAAAAAAAATTATAACTATAACCACAGTTGCTTGCATGTCAAATTCGTGGATTAGCCTCCCGTAGCTAATCCCTATTGAAGCCAGCGTACACTTGCTTTGATGTCACAGCAGCCACTTCTGTGCGGCATCCTCCTCGCAGTAATCCCACAGACTCTACTTCACAACAACTGTTCCCTCACCTCAACTCTGTCTTTATCTGTCACACCCTAACCGTGGGACCATGTTTGTGGCATCTTCTGAAGATTGCTGGGTGTTTTTTTTTCCCCTCCTCCTCTTTGGCTTTTTTTCTTCTGAATGGAGTTGCTATGGTTACAGACTGAGGGACATGTGAGTGTGGTTGATGAAGATGCTCTATCCTGTTTTTGATTTTTCACACACGTTCTCCGTCTCTCTGCAACCACTGTAGTGTACAGAGACGTAGTAATGTTGGCAGCAGTACATGAAAGTGAACGTACGTACTTTAAAGGCATCCTTATAGATTATAAACATACTGGTCCCGTGAAATCATGACCCAGAAAAGCAGCCACCATTCAACTGTGCTAAATACATATTAGATCGTGTAGTTTCAGAAAAGTGTGCTTAAGACTGTGATGCAAAATGTTATTTTGCCTGTGGGACTTAGATGGATTGAGACTCTCTTAAGAATGCTCAGGAAACCATCCTAGTTAACGCCCCTGTAAAAGCACAAAAATAACAGTTGAAGTTAAACAAAACTTTCATCATTACATTCCATTTTCTCTCCATTATTGGCCTGAACATGATTACAGAACCATATCCATTAATTGGGTTTCTCTTGTATGAGTTCAAATCAGAAGGGAATTATGTCCACGAGGAAAACCATAGTATGATTTTTTGCACACTTTAGACCTAAAGGCATCTGGATGAGATGCCTGAATCACCTCAACTGGCTTCTTACAATGTTTTCAGTTCTTCTCCAATGGTGCAGACCAGCTGCTCAATGGAGTCAACTCATTTTAACAGCTTTAAACCTGTAATTTATTTGATTGGTCTTTAAACTCCTTGTGGTTATAGTGGACAAATGTAGCAGTTTGGGCAAAGCTTTCCTCCTTTAATATTACAGACCTGAACATCACCAGTATTAAGGCAGAAAAGAAACCCTGATTGTGTAGCACTTATGGTGATAGGTGGAAGACAAATATAATCTGCATACTACATAAGATTTACTCTCCATGACCAAGATTTGAAATCCTGCCAATGAAGACAAGCAAAAAGGACAAGCTAAATCACAAAATTTTGGATAAAACTCCCCCATGATAACTTTGATAAGCTTGAGAAGTGAAACTAAATAGAGGCCCTGCTCATTGGAATCAGAAGGGAATCAGTTATGGTGGCTCCAACATCTGACCCTGATCCCTTCTAAGACACCTTAGACATCACACTGGGAGACCAGGCACAAATCCATACAATAGATGGATGGATGGTTGGACGGACGGACAAACAGATCGCTAAAAGTCTCATCAGGAATTTGGAGGACGGTATTTTAATATGGAGTCTAAATCTGTGGGGGCTCTGGCTCTGGCTCTGATCAGATTGCAACCGATTGTACATGCAGTCTGCACTGGGGAAGAAAAACAACAACAACCAACCATTAGGATGGAAAACTGGCACACGATAATTTGGAGTGTGAAAATACTGCTGTGTTTGTTTACAATCCCACAGGCCCCATCTTAGCCATTTACATAAAGAGAACTGATCACATGCAGGCAGCAAATAAGTAAGAAAACTGTCAATACTGCCAAGGGAAAATACAGACATCTGTGTGACAGATTTAAAAATCAGTATAATATACAGTGTATGGAGTTAGAATGTTTGCTCAAACAGTAGAACATGGCTGCACAGGCAGTAGGCTGCTACCTTAATTGTCACTTTAGTTTTTAATATATTTGGTCTTTGTTTCACACATTGGTGCCATTTTCTTGTGAAGACCGAAAGAACAATGACAGCTTAGATTTCTTTATGTACTTGAATGCCACCTCTTTGCTGGTATTTTTTTTGTAAGACTTTCCTAGAGAAGAGCAAGAAAAGCAGTATGGCAACCCCCTTTGTCATAAAATTTTACCTTGATACCAACCAGTATGTTTGCTGATTCATTGTAATACTGTTATTCTTTTTTTATGTTTTCTCTGTAAATTTATGTTATAACATAATGTGTTTTTCCCTCCAAGAGCTCTCTATTTCCCTTTACCGTAAAGTCCCTGTTATGAATTTTCTTCTTTTTCAAATTTTTTAATCTTGTGTGAACCTGTGTGCTTTCATTTAAATTTACCTCTAAGCTTTGCCATCAGATATGTTAGATAAAAGCAAGACTTCTATTCTGTTCTATTCTATTATTTTCTATGCTTCACTATGTATATGTGAATTCAGGACAATCCATTTGATTTGATTTCTCCCACAATCTTCCAAGTTTAAAACAACATGTCTTTATGTTGTATTTCATCTGTCCATTCAGGAGAAATGCACGAGAGATCGTGTGCGTCACCCCCGCCGGACTCGCACCAAGCAGTTCATCAGTCTTGGTGGACATTGATGATGCTGAGCTGCGGAATCCAGAGGTCCGATTTAACTACACTGAAGACCCCACGGTCCTAAAAATAGAGCCTGATTGGAGCATTGCCAGGTAAATCTTGATGTTTTATAATCACTCACTGAGCTTGACTGCAATATTTTATTTATGTCTTATTATGAGCCCATTTAGCTTGCAAATGGATTAGCTAAGTAACACTTTTGAGAAGCAATATTTGATTTGCTGCAGTGATAAATCTTGCTTTCAAAATCAATTCCAGCTCATCTTAGAGGGGTATAAATAATTTTTAACTGGACTTGGGTTCTAGCAGGATTCTTAATGAGGAAAGATCAAATACCATTAGAAAATGTTGGTTGATTTTATGATGTTGTTTGTGTGTCTTAAGAAACCTAGTCTATGAAAGTTAGTTTTATTTTGTCATTTTAGAAGCTTTTTTTTTTTAGTTTAATTGGTACTTGAGCACACATGTGGCATATTATGATGGATGTTAGCTGATGCAGGCTTTGCAAAATATTTTCTAACAAATATCTAGCAAGCAGTTTAGGAAGAACAGTTGTTATAAAAATTGAAAAGAGCAGATATGCTCTTCGCTCCTTTTCCTCTTTGCCTCAGCATGTCATCCTCCCTACTGTTACTTATCAGCCCATTCTAAAGGTACATTCATGCTCAGCCTGATTAGAGGGAATAAAGTTTGTGATTTGTATGTTATTAGTATGTAGAGGTACATTCAGCAGCAAAGCAATGGCAGGTGCTTCTAGCCATGCAATTGGTGTAATTATCCTGAATAGAGTGAAGTGAGAACAAACAAAACCTATATTTCCTGGAGTTCAAAAAACGTTTCTGTGAAGACCATTCAAGGAACCGGATGTGGTTGTGACATAGAGAGAAGGAGAGCAGCAGGGATAAAGCTTTTTGCAATCAAAATTGAACATATAAAAATGTATATTAAAATAGCAAGAAGTAAGATCCCTAAGAAGGGCTTTTAAATCATTAATTGCAGCTGTAGGATTGACCTCACCTAGCCACCTCTGCCCACAATTTTTCTCACCTCCTGTCTGAGCTCCAGAGCGCCTCCTCACCCTATTGCTGTTGCCAAGGTGATCCATCCTCAAAACATGGTTACAGTTTCTTTTGTGCTCGCTGCCCTGATAGCTGGCCTAATTGCTAATTTTACTCACCTACCGAACCCTTCCCAGTCACTAATTATCATTCATCTTGTCCACCTGCTCCTTCTGCTTTATATACAGCTCAGCCCAGCTATCAGGGCCAGATCATTATTTTTATGTTTGTGATTTTGACCTTGATGCCTTAGTTCTAGTTTTTGTTTTAGAAGGCCAGTGATTATAGAGGATTGTTAGTCTTGTGTTGGTGAATCCTGGCTCTTGCCCAGTGATAGCGCCCGGTTCCTGTTTTGGAGCGTCTGGAGGGAGTAGGGGGTGTTGGGGCGGAGGGCTAGTTTAAAGCTCTGGGCTGTTGATTACAGGCTGCTGCATCGGGACACTCTCGGTGCATCTTGTTGGCAGCCCATTGGTCGGAACCTGCCTTACTCAAAGAGGATGGACTGAATGGTAAAACCAGGGTGTCAGTGATGAGCAGTATCACCCCGCATCCCCCTGCAGGCGCTGCAGATCCGCAAATCCACAGTTTGCATCATTTCTGTTATTTTGAATAAACGTTTTGGATCTTTCCCAACGTTTTTCTCGCCTCAAAACTGGGTAAAATTGAAATACCCTGGAAAGCGACCATGGCCCCAGTCCAGCACTAAAATGGTGATATCGGTATCAGCGAGTACCAACAAATAGGGCACAGATACCATTTTAAGAGCCAAAAGTTTATTCAACTATTGTCAGCCATTCCAGGTAGGCAGTAAAAAGTTCTTCTGGATTCACTTTGTATTAGTCTTTTTCCTGCTTCACAAAGGTAGGCAGCAGCTTGACAAAGCTATGATGGCAATTATTTTAAATCCTAGTAGTATGCAGTTCTTCATACAGTATATATACACACAAACACACACATCCTTTTCAAACAGATGGTATTGGTACCGCCCAATACTACACAGCCAAGTATCGGTATCAGGGCCAAAAAATGGCATCGGTGCAACACTACCTGGAACCTGGAGCATCTCTGCAGGATCTGGTGGATCCGGGGACATAAACACCACTGTCTGGGTTTATACAATAAATAAAACAGTGTGAACATCACTCTAGGAAGTTGCCCAGTGCAGGAGGCCATTACTCTACTCTCACTGTCAAAATCCATCAACAACATGCTGAAAACATTTTAAAAGGTTTTTTTAAACCCTTAGATTTTTTAAACAATTGTTTGCTCCCATTTAAGCCACACATTGAAAATTAATCATATTTTCTCCTTAAAGCATCCTAAGTTGATCAGTCACCATATAGATGATTTATATTTACCAAAAATATTAGCTCAAAGGTTAGAAGACAGAAAGATGAAGCAAGTGGAGAAATAAAGAGCAGAGGAGAAGAAAAACCCTAACTGTTTGGATTTCCCAGGCTATCTCTTGGAGTTTATTTTCATTGTCTTGTCAGCTCCCTCAAGCATGTATCCAAGATAAAGAGACTCACTTAGACAAAGAAAAGAACAACTGGGACAGAGGGACTCGGGACAAATATCCATCAAGCTGAGGAGGAAAGGAGATGGGTGCAAAGGAGCTAAAGGACAATCTGACTTTAAAGACATGCAGCCTGACAGCTCAGCTGAGGTATTTGTTGCAGTATTCTACAAATATCTAAATGAATCCCCAGCTCTTTTCTTAATTAGCTGCCTTAATGTATCTACTACAGCCACCCTTATGTTCACACAAGATAGTTTTTTTCTTTTATGTTTTTATTTCCTTGTATTCCATGTATTGCAGTGTTTCTATAGGCTAAATCAATAAGATGATTTGTGTTATTGTTAAGAGAAAGCAAATGACCTTTGGAAATAGACATAAAGATAGAAGTATTCTAAAACAGAAAAGGTTTATGGTTCCTTTTTGAAGCTTAGAAACTATTTTGTTTCAAGCTGCTTCAGAACGACTTAAACCACAATACAAAATGTATTGCTTGTTACGAAGACTTGACGACCCATTGCTGTCGTGTAGAACTTGAAATGATTAATTTATCAAATGCAAAACTATCTACAGAGAAATGTCTTTAATACTGCATCAAGTGTTATAAAAACAAAATAAAGGAATCTACATGATAAAAAATAAAAAATAGACAGAATCTCAACAGAAAAACGCTTTGGGAAGCTGAAAGAAGCGTAAGACTAGAGTCTAATATCTTGCTACAATAGGAGAGACAGTGTTGCTACCTTTATCACTTACTCCTGTCAAACCCTTGCACTACCGTTTGCTGCTATTCTAAGCCTGGTTGGATTAGAGCAAGAGATGAATGTCTTGTGTAAGCCTGCCAGACTCCCAGTCCAAGATATTAAGAGCTTCTGTCTCTGCTTCCTCTCAAATCATTTCCTCTGCTGTTAGTGCCTCTGCACCAAGTCATTTGGATAAATGTCAGCTTAATGCTGAGTAAGAAAAGATTCCTGCATATTGAAGAAGTCAGTGGTAATACATTTAAACCAAACTGAAGGTGATGTACTCTTCATTCCTTGTAGGATGGAAGGGTGACTAAGGTTTGCTTTTGTGATTGGCATGGTTCCATTGCAGAATTGAAGTGCCTGTTGGGATAGTCTTGATAATGACTCCTTCAGGGAGTCCTGGTATTCATTTAGCAGCTATTCAGAAAATCACTTATAAAACACATAGGGCTGTGTGCGGTATTCAGTATTGAGTTTTCTTGAGGGATGAATGTATTTTATTGGTGTGACTTGATGGTTAAGAAATTAGAACAGGGTTTGGTGCATGGTAACATTATTAACATCTTTGGTAGGATTGCTGTGGGACAATACCACTGATGCATAGAGTCTGCCAGAGAGAGTCTGAGGGTAAAATACAAGAACAGACTTTAGCAAGTACTAAGAGAATGGCAGCTTCATTGTTACAGTCTCCTCTTTCACGTTTTTCTGATTTCCTGCAATTTTGTTCCATTTTAAAAAGTCATGGGAGTCACAATAAACAGTACGTCTCAGTTTCCTCTACAAATGTCACAGGTTTCGGTTTGAACTTGGACTATAGGCTACAGTGTATTTCTTAAAAAGGGTTATAGATATTAGATATACTTTTTTTGAATACCCTGTTGAACACCATCATTGGATGGTGAATTCGCCCCATACACCTCATCCCAAAGATGCCACGCTACAGTAGATTGAGACCATGGTGAATGAGGAGGTTGTTAAAGTACACAAATCACCTTATCATGTTTAAGGAACAAAATGTTTGATTGTTTGAGCTATGTGACATTTCTGACAGTCTAAGTAGGAATTCGATATCAGAGTCTGGATTTATGGGGGTCATAAAGGTGTTACCATGATCAGCAACAATAACCAGGTAGGTTATGGTGCTGAACTGATGCTCAGTTGGCATTAAAAAAGCTCTAAATGGGTACAACATGTCTCTAAAACCAGCACTGTGAACTGCTGATAGAAGATAGGATGGATTCATTCTTTTGAGATGTCTTGTCCAAGGTTCAGTTCAGTTTATTTATATAGCACTAATTCACAACACGTGTCATCTCAAGCCATTTTACAGTTCTCACTAAGATTTTTTATCCTGGTTTTGAAATTTGTCCGAATCAGAACACTTCAACCCTTCTTTTAAAGCTGGCTCTCTGTCTGCTGGCGAGGCGGTTCTGTATGTGTGCACCTGTCTGCAAGCAGCCAGGCTGAGTCGATGACAAAGCCTGAAGTGAGCATGTTTTAAATTTTCACAGGTTTTTTTTTGTCCACATACATATGAAATTAAATCGGTAAATGGGTTTAAAAACACTGTTCCAGCATCGTTTACACTCCTTAAAGGGCAGAATATCAGCCTATTTTCAGTGTAATTTTTATTAAATTTTCAAAATAACTAGATTTGTGCTGAAACGTGCCAGACAGACCCCTGAGGGGAGCCCAGCAATGAGTTAAAGGGTCATATGCTTAAAATGAGCGTAGCAGCTTCAATTTCAGTCTTTCACAGGGACAGATTTCAACGAAGCGTCCCACAACGCTGGTGAGAACACTGTAGTCCAAATTCAAACCCTAACCTTTGAAATTTGGAGCGGAACATGAGATTTAATCGGCCTCCAATGGTTTTCCAAATGTGAATTGTAAAATTTTTTGCCAAGTTTTTACCATTGAGTGGTGCGGCAAACAGTCTCGTCTTTTGCTGCTTTGTGGCGGATTCTTATTGAGGTTTCTGAGATATGATTATCTCTGAATGCTCAATAAAAGGCCAGATTGAACATCGGACCAATCAAGTAAGGGCATGTGTTGAAGGGGCCTAATGAAGGCGTGTCTTGAGGTGTGAACGAACAGGAGGGTTTAAAAATAAAACAAAAACGGTGCATCCAGCTCTGTGCAACAAGCAGGTTGTCACAAAGTGTTTGTTGATTTAGTCTTACCTTTCAGTCAACACAAACCACAAGTCCACTCTGACTTTGTTATTCTCCCAACTAAAGTTTATTGGACCATTATTAGCAACATTCCTTGTTAGCCTTATGCTATGTTCAGACCACAAGCAGCAGGGTTAACAGAAGCAGCTAGGTTACAAGCACACTCAATGGTTGATGCGCATGAAGGCGCAGCAGAAGATCCCGCAGTGTGTTTTGAGCAGCAGGAGCAGCATGTCTGAGCTGCTGAAGAACCCATCAGATGCTCAGAAGCTCATGAAGCGCTTTAGAAGCAGCAGCTGATGGACTTGGAAAAATGCAACATCAACCAATCAGAGAAGCTGATCTGGGGGCTGGCAGGGAGACAGACGCAGTGCTGGTCTTGCAGATCCCTATGATCACTCCTCTGAAACATTTTATTAATGCCTAAATTAGCTTAAAATTTCGAAACCTGCCAGCAAAATATGTTGTTTTTTTTTATTCTGGTGCCTACAGTTTGGCTTACGTACTTGAAAAACACCTTCCAGCTGCAGCGAAGAGTAGTGGAAAACCGCAAAGAGCTGACAGGGCCAGAGGCTGCTGTTGAACGGGATTCCCAGTGACAGCGCATTCCTGGTGTACAGGGGTCTAAGCCGCTCAGACAGCGAAATAATACTTGAAGGCAGGATGGTAATCTTGATGAACTGACTGCACAGATAAAGTTTTCAGGTGGACTTTCTCACTTAAAAACATTAAAACTACTTTTTACCCACTGATAACAGTAAATATAGCTGCCATTGTTACAGGCAAAGAAAGGACAGGGTAGCTTTGGCCAACATACAACAGACCTACTTTCTCGACCGTGCAGCTGGAGCAGCAAAGATGCTTCAGCTGCACATCAGAACTAAACTTCTACAAACATCAAAAAATGAAGCAGCACACACCTTTTTGCTGCTCCTGCAAAAAGGTGTGTGTTGATGCTCATTTTTAACCATGATATGTCTAGATGGCTATGTCCATTGAGCTTCTACTGCATTATTGCCTATAATAAAGAAGGAAATGAGTAATATTGTGAGCATTGGTCTGTCAAAGAAGGTGCTAAAAAATGGCACATTGATATTTCTTGAGTTTTTAACTGACGTCAATTGTTTGATATTTTCAAGACTGTGTTATTAGTTCAACATTATCCTAGCCGTTTATATGATAAAGACGAAAGCTTATTTTTCCAAGAGGGAGTGGGAAATCCATAAAAAGACTCATGATAGCAGATTTTCTTTGCTATATTTCACTGTGGCACAAATAGCCCAGCAGCAGGAGAGGTAGTAATCCTCCTAAAGAACACCAACTCAAAGGCTGGAACTGACAGTGTAAAACAAAGACCGTGTCAAGAGGTGGAGATGTCTCTAAAGAACACATCATAAATCTAATTTAAGTAAAAATACTCCCTTTGATTCACTGGGTCTTCTGTGATAAGGTCTTTATTTTTTCTATGAACCTTGTGATCTTTCCTTTGAGTCTATGAATCATTTTGGGTATACCAACATGTCATCTGAGAGAATTGGAGCTATTTTTCAGTAAGAAAGTAAAAAACCTCTGCCAGTATGACCTGCAGAGAGAATCTGCTAACAGAAACAACAGGCCTTTTAAAAATATCAGGCATCTGTTATCATCAGAACATTCCCAGAAACAGTGCAGTGTGTACAGGCGTTTACATAAAAGGCTCCAACAACTTTCTGCTTCAGCAGGAAAATCTTATTTCCTTACCTTTTCATGTTATATCCTGGACTTTTTTATATAATATGAAATGCTCTAGTACACAGTAATAGCTGAAAACCTATGCTAGGTTGAGCCTGACTTAATTATCTTGTTTATAAAACTATTTTTCACATAAATTATGTCTTTAAAATACATTGTTAAATTCAATTTTATTCTTTTTTTTCAGTTTATTTATATAGCGCCACTTCACAACACGTCATCTCAAGGCACATTATAGTTCACCAAATCATACAGTCAAATTGATTCAAAGTTTTCTGTCCAAGGAAAACCAGTTGATTGCATCGACTCATTGACTCGAAGGCAATCCCTCACACTAAGCATGCTTGTAGCGACAGTGGAGAGGAAAAACTCCCTTTTAACAGGAAGAAACCTCCAGCAGAACCAGGCTCAGTGTGAGCGGCCATCTACCGAGGCCGAGTAGGGTTCAAGGAGACGGAAGCAGAGATACAAAAAGCAACTGTAAAAGGCGGCCCCGTCCAGGAAACACACAGCCAGGCAGATGAGCTCCGAGCCAGCTCCCATGTCAGAGGATGAAGAGAGCACATCCAGCCAGTCACAGTCAGAGAAACAGGACTACACTGGAAAACAGGCAGATCTTAAACATCTATAAACAAAGGTGTTGATGGCAGCAGCACAGCTAGTATTTATCTCCAGGAACAGACAAAACTGTTATACTAGATGGGTGCCAAGAATTTAAACATAATAATTCATATTAAGGAACATCATTGACAAAACTATTCCCTGTAGCTTGAAGTTAAACTATTTCATTTTAATTCAGTTTATTTATATAGCACCAATTCACAACACACACAACATCTCAAGGCACTTTACAGTTCACCAGATCATCCAGTCAAATTGATTAAAAATGTTTTATCTAAGGAAAACCAGTTGATTGCATCGACTCATTGACTCAAAGGCAATCCCTCATTTCAAATGACATTAACCAAGTATTTGCCTGCTTAGACTAAATTCTTAGCTTTACAAAAAGTTTCGTTGTTGGGACCTAATTAAAGTGCTGAGTAGAGAAGCCAAAATACAAATCAAGCAAGAATAAAGAGAAAAAAAAAAAAAAAAAAAAAAAAAAAAAATATATATATATATATATATATATATATATATATATATATATATATATATATATATTTTAAGAAATGACTCAATAAGAGTTAAAAAGTAGTTGGTAAGAAGGCCACTCAAGTACTGAGTAACTAACCATAGCATCTAATTTACTTTATAAAATGATGTAATCAGACAGACCAGAATATACAGCTTTTTTTTTTTAACTCTGGTTTTTCAAAGATGAAAATAAAACAATGAATTCAAATATAAAACTTATGGGGAAAAAAAATAAACAGAGGAAACATTTGAAATAAAAAACTTTACTCCAAATCTTCTTTTCCTCAAAATAACACATATGAAATCAATAACTGCACTAAGTAATATGCTCTATATTATACTGGGGTAAACTACCTCTAGCAACAATTTATACTTTTTCCATGGATTACCTTGACCTCCATATGTAATTGAAAGCTTAGCAGATGAAATCAGGATCAGCAAACTATTGTACAAAAAAGAGAGGTAATTTTATTTGGCTGGTTCATTTTTTTGTAAATGCACTTGTTCTTCATTTATTTATGTTACTCATGGTAACTAGAGTCAAAAAATGACTCAAGTATGAGCAGTGTCACACTATTAAGTAAAAATAGAAAGTATTGTTAGGATAAATATCATTGAAGATGTGTGAGTTTATTACACCCTGTTATGGGCTGCCTGTTGCGCATCAGAACTGATGTTTTAATCTAATTAAGACAGTTCCACTGTCTGAATATACAGTTATAATCTTCATTTTGTATGTGGCAAATATTTGGGAATGGAATGAGAGCGGTGTCCTTCAGCTAATAACAAGTGTAATATTTTGATAAGGCTCGAGCCAGGGATGTCTAATCATCTGCTAACGTGTATGATGTAATGATGTGATGATGTGACCGACTGGAGATATCTCAAATGCCTTTTTAACTGTTAATTGGGGCCACTTCCTGTAAGGTGAGCAGTACAGTGAAACTATTCCTAAAATAACTTTTTTGTCCAAAAGATACTCAAATAAATATAACTGAGTAAATGTAACTAGTTACTACCTACCTCTGCTAATTGCTGTCTTTTCTGTTATAGTTCTCACTCACCTTTGTTCTAGCTATCAATTTTATGAATATTTTATGAAATAAATCTAAATATACACAACTTTTCCATTAAGTAGTTCACATCAATTGGTTTTCATTTTTTTATGCTTTTATTTTTGACCAAATCAGAAATATCATCTAAAATTCACTCTCCAGTTAGTTTTGAAATATAACTACAGTAAGATGTATTTTTAGTTGTGCTGTTATCAAAACCAACACTCCTGTTTCTTAGCCCTTGATGTTTTTTTTCACAGTGGTGGAACTCCTCTGACAGTGAGCGGGACCAACCTAGCAACCATCCGAGAACCGAAGATCAGGGCCAAGTATGGGCAGGCCGAGTCCTTTCATGTAAGTCTGAAAATTATGGACATAGAAGTTTTGTTTAGTTATTTTTCTATTGAACCGGACATAATAATAATATTCAACAATATCAATTACAAATGCAACATTTTTATTATAGAATGAGGCTTTATATAAGTTAACCAAGATAAGCATTAAAAATATATTCAAAGAAAATCACTTTAATCTCACACTCTGCTTATGTTTTTAACCAGCTGCAGAAATGCTACACTACCTCAGGCCAAAATTTTGGAAATATCACTTTTTCACATTAGTGTGTCGAAAAACATCCATCTTGAGAGGAGTGTGAAGCAGAACAACGTCTTAGCACAGTGCTTTCTACCCATTTGAGTTTTTATTTAAAGTATGCCAATGTTTTAATCACATTCATCAGTCTATTTAAATCAGATTTTATGTTATAGTGCAAGACAAATGTGTGATGTAGAAGAAAACTTTATAGCACTTGTTATCTGTCGCTCTTGAGTCAAAAATGTGTTTATTTTGCTCTGATGGTTATTTGGGTATATCTACCAGTTTGCCAGTGTGATTTGGTCAATTTCTTAAGGTAAGACGAAAAATTATGACTTATTAACAGAAGTAGTTAAAACACAGGTTGAAAACCGAGTTTTATGCATTAAAAACAAATGTAAAAAAGGAGACTGTAAGCAGAAATTATTGGCATCATGCTAATGTCAAGAGGCAAGTGGTTCAACAGCTACAGTACTTGGCAAAAGCTCGATGTACCAAGTCATAGAGAGGACATATATACCCAAGATATACCACTTTCGGAATTAAAGTGTAAATTAGATTTTAAAGTCAACAGGGAGACAGCAGGAACAGGTGAGACATGTTTTTGTTGATGTCTTCCTGCCAGAAGCCCAAATAACAACACAAGGCCAGGATTAAATCCCTTAATTCTGGAAATAAAGAAAAGCATGTCTGAACCTGGAGTGAGTCCTTCTACCATGTCCATGTGTTTGATCCATACCCACATAGTTGAACGCTCAGAGTTGATGTCCTGGTGGAAGGTTAACCTCCCTCCCAGCCTTTAGTCCTCTGCAGCCTCTGTTGAGCTCCATCCATCTTCCCATCAACCCTAATGTCACCCCTGTCACTGCAGCGATACCTTCACAACATGATACTTCCACCCCCATGTTTCATAAAGGGTATAGGCTTTAATGTGTGTAAAGTTCTATTTGGTCTCATTTTACCACATGACCTTGTTCTTCATATCCATTGCTTTCCCAAGATAGATAGATGGATACTTTAATAATCCCCAAGGGGAAATCGAGGGCCTCAGTAGATTACAGACATTGCACACAACTAGCACTTAAAGCAAAAAATGAAATATATAAAAGGCGACAGAGTCAGTAGAAAATAAAACATGATCTTATTCTGAGGGGATTTCTTGTGGCTTTCATCCCAGGAACAGCTTTTGGGTTTCCATTCTTTTACAAGGGCCAGATTTGTACAATAAATAGCTAATAGTAAATGTCAGGAGATTTGTTCACATAATCTGTGGATCTCCAAAGCTTTTCCAGATTTACCAATGGCCTATTGGATGCGTCTTCTGGCATTGGACTTTGTTTTATGTGGAAAGTCCTGTATTGTTGCTGTAGGTTGCATTAATGCCATATTCCTTAATATTGTTTTATAACCTAACACTGCTTCAAACTGTTATATCTCTGACCTGCAGATTTTTCACTAATATTCTCTAACCTCGGCATATGGCCGCTCACACTGAGCCTGGTTCTGCTGGAGGTTTCTTCCTGTTATGATCTGGTGAACTTTAAAGTGCCTTGACATCACCTGTGTAGTAAATTGCCGCTATATAAATAAACTGAATTGAATTGAATTGAATTAAACTCTCTTTGGTGCCTACATTGAAAAGCTGAACTTACACTGAATAAGACTGAATAGAAACTTTATAAATCCATATTTCTTTCCCTCTTTCTTCCTCACTACACTCTTTTTTGTAATAGTCTAACACATCATAAATGCCAGTGAAAGATGGAGAATTTAGAAGTTTTAATGTGATGAAATGTGAAAAGGTTTAAGCAGTATCAAGGCTTTGAAAAAGCACTGTAGAGATTATCTATAGATGACCTTCACAAAAACTTTGGTGATAGCTGTTAATAGTTGTCAAGGCTAAGAAATGAACTTTAAGGAACTCAGAACACTTGAACCTGCAGCTGAAGATGGGATTTATTGATGGAGACAGCCTACACAATGCTTCCCACACAGCTTTTCTGTGCACTTAAAGGATGGTGCATTTTGTACGTCATTTACAACAAAACACACTTACTTTTCTCCATCTTTTAAACAGCTGCCCTATGTTTGCTGCATGGCAGGATAAGGATTTGCTAACAACATTTTTCTACTTTCTTTTTGCCATTATAACGTCAGTGTTATATAGGAGCTTGCTGACTTTCCCATTCAGGGTCAATAAAACAGGTTCTTCACCATGAGGAAGAAAACGAGTGTAGCCATTGAACATGTTTGGTGCAAAGTGTCTACAGCACACCAGAGCAAGAGTGCAGGCCTCTAAGCAGAATTATATATTGATGTGGGGCTGCTCGTGACATCTTGTATTCATGTATTCTCTTAAGCAATGATGTAAATACTCGCAGGTACAAGCAAAGGAGCAGAGCTCATTGCCCGTTATTAACAGTTGATCATAAATTTGCAACCAATTTACATTTCCAATGGGTCCAAGCGCATTGTGGTTTCATAGGGCATTGAATTACAAAAAGGATTGGTTATTATTCCTAACAGATTCATTTTAACAGAAAATGATATGCTGCAGGTTGATTCCCAGAGTTGCTAAAAGAGGCAGGGCTGCTTGCTTTATGGGATGTGGGACCATTTTAGGGAATAAATTAATACTGAATATTTACAAGCGTAACTGTTTCCAATTTAAATCAAATGTTTTTTTATTCCTTCCAGAACTGCACTGTATACAACAATTCTGTGATGGTCTGCATCGCTCCGTCAGTGGCTGACTCCGAGCTGGGATTTTCTGACACCGGCTCCGGTCCGGATGAAATCGGCTTTTACATGGACAATGTCAACTCTCTGGTGGTGGTCAACGAAACGTTCAGCTACTACCCTGACCCTGTCTTTGAGCCGCTGAGTCCATCCGGTGTACTGGAGCTCAAACCTACATCCCCACTAATACTCAAGGTCAGAGGGATGGATGGATGGATGGATGGATGGATGGATGGATGGATGGATGGATGGATGGATGGATGGATGGATGGATGATGGATGATGGATGGATGGATGGATGGATGGATGGATGGATGGATGGATGGATGGATGATGGATGATGGATGGATGGATGGATGGATGGATGGATGGATGGATGGATGGATGGATGGATGGATGGATGGATGGATGGATGGATGGATGGATAGACAGACAGACAATGTTTTGAAGACCTCATTTATTCGTTTAAGGTTTCAAAACTCAATATGCTGAAAAATTTACTGAAAATATTAATGGCACGTCAACTTCGAAGCTGCAGAATGTAGAGGATCAGCAGGACCTTTCACTCCATTTGCTTAAAAGAATGTTGATTCACTGCAACAATACAAAAGTGATCTTTTATAAGGTTGTGGTAGATGGAAGTTTTAGCTTTTTCAAAACATGTTTTTCTCCAAAAAGAAAAACCTCAGATATATTGAACCTCTGCTGCAATAATAAACTGACTTAGACTAACTAGCAGAAAAACACTCTCAGGCTTTTTATATATATATATATATATATATATATATATATATATATATATATATATATATATATATATACATATAAGATGGAGAAAAAAAGCTCTCAAGTGTGTTTACAAGGTCTCTTAGGAGAAAAAAAGAAAACGTCTTTTTAATTCATAAATGGATGCTGAAAGCAAGTGCCCACACCTTCCAAGGCCAGTTTCTTTCCTTCAGCCACTTCAGCTCTCCTCTGCAGCCGGCAGGCCTTTGAAATAGTCTTCTTTTCAATTTGTGTTAATAATTTGTTGTGCTGCAAGGGCAGCGTGGAAACACGCTGTTCTGTGGACCAAGGGATTTGGATTATGCTGTGATTTTCATTAACAGCAAATTGACACAAGTAAGAGAAATTAATTGGCAATTTCTGTGTTCCGTGTATCATCTTTAGAACTTCACCTGAAAGTTTGCGGCTAGCTCGGATTAAAGAAAAAATTTGAATGTTTTGGAGGACTGTTTTCTAAACTATTCCACGTTTGTAATTGAAATTAGCAAGTTAAGAGACTAAACGCCAGGTTTAACTGTAAAATGGAAAGAATTTGATTTATACTTATAAAAATATTCCATATCTTCCAATCTGAAGGTTCATAATATGCATTTGTATTGCCTTTTGGCAATCTTGCCTCTTAGGTTTTTTGTTACAAATAGTAATACGTGTTTTTGAACAGCAAGATTTTAAAATTTTCAAACCTTAAGAGTACTGATAAACAGTGTTTTAGCTTCTTAAACGTCACATTATGCGCCAGAAAATCCTTAAAGTCATGTGAGCGCCTGATGTTTACAGTTTATTATGGTGCTCAACAGCGTATTTATTTGAGCTGACGTAAATGATGAGTTTTTTGAAAACAATGTTGTGTGAACAATGTTATTGAAAACGGATGCTGGGAAATATTTGCTTCTCTAAATACTAATACTATGTGTAAATCTGGTTTCACTTTTCTCTAGGCTTTTTATGTAAACCTAGTGGAGTTTAACCCCTTTATATTTAGCTGCATCATCTTTTAGCCAGCTCCCAGATCTGCTCAAATGTTTTGACATACAAAATCAAGCTGCAGAAGTTCACAGAGTGGATATCAGGCAAAGAGAATTCAATATACTGGTTGTTGGATGTTCGACACGTTTTACCAAGTAGATCCGATCACTCTGAGGACGCCAACACGACAGGATTATCTCTATGTTTATTGGTCCAGAGATGTTCCAAAATCTGAGGGTCTTGGAAAGGGGAGAATCGAACAGAGTTCTGCATGATTATCTTTCCGTGTGGACCAGCCTTTAAACTTTGTTTGCTATGCCTTTATCACCTTTTCATGACTGGTATTTATAAGGTCTACTACATCTGTGGACCTCAATATGCACTATAAGTAGTTAAATAAAGTTTTGCATTTTGATTGGGCCATTGTAAGATACAAATATGTATTGTTGCTCTGGTTCCTTGTTTATTCTCAAAGTTCTGATTTAAGAATAAAAAATCTACTCTAAAACATAGTTTATTTTTGTAATCGAAAAACTATGGAATGGTTTAACACAGTTTATTTCAATGTTAATCATAATAAATTGCTAAACAGTGTCTGTGAACACTTGAATAAACAATAGCATTTTTGGTTTGCACACCACTTATCTAACTGCCAAAAGCATCTCAGACAGAAAAACCTTTCTAGATAGTATTTACAGTGCAGAGGAGTTTAAAATGTATTTCTTTTTCAGCTGTTTCAGTCACAGAGTACGCCACATTTGTGTGGAACTCCCCATTTAATGCTTTTATCTCCTATATAGATAAAGAATTAGAAAGATAAAATGAGATAGATAAAGAGTTATCAGAGAGCAGGTTACGCAGCTTATTTCCATGAAGAGACTGAAAGCAGCGTAACCGTCGTAATTTATTTCTTAAAAGATCATTTATTTGCAAAGAGCTTTGCAGTAATTGCCAAATCTCCTGCTTGGCTTGTTGGAGGAACTGCTTACCCAGTGGAAGCACTGATGAGATGGACAGAAATGCAATTTGGAGAGATGGGATGTGGTGGCTGGTTGTGGCGCTTCTCAGATGTGTGCACTTCGCCTGCCACGCAATTAATTTCTCATTTTTAGAGAGAGAAGGAAAAAAAAGTGAAAACATCCATCTGATCCTGTTGTTTCTTGAGCACTTTCCTGCGTCCCTGTATGTGTTTTGGAGAGTTCTCCTCCAGTGTGTTGATTCTTGCGTGTAGTTGTTTATGTGTGGCAACAGTTCAGTCTGAAGCAATAACTCCATTGCATGTGTGGTTTAAACTCCGCATGTGCTTACAGGATGCTATGGAAGCGTGTCTGTGTGTGTGATTGCGAGATGGAATGGGATGCATGTTTACAGGTTTGCAGAGCTGGGCTGGGTGGCAGTAGCCTGCAGAGACGATGGGATTGGAAAAAGGAGTCTGTCTCTGCTTCCCACTGTTAAGTCAGTGGGGGGTATGGCAGCTATCTCCTCGCTCTCCTCTGTCTAACTCAGTAACTCCAATTTCATGTTCACTACCTTTCTTCTTTACTCAGAGCAAATCCTGTTCCTCTCCTGTCCATCTATTTTCTAGCCTATCCAATCATCTGTTACCCTGATGGTTTCCTTTTACCATTTCCAATTGTTGTTGTTTTTTTCCCTTTGTATCCGTCGCTCCCTCGCTGTTTTTGTTTTCCTGTTTTTGGATGAGCTGGTGCTGTAGCTCCATTATTACAATGCTAAATGCAAATCTACTATTACTGTCAAACTTTGTGGAAAATTAGACTCAAATTGTTTGCAAATTATATATTTAAATCAGGTTTTTCAGGACCAACACAATAATTTTTTATTGCTTTGTTTACTAAATGTTAAACTACATTTTTGTCAGTGTTTCCATGTTGCATCCTTTCGCTTCTATATGTAGGATCAATCATGTAAGGGAATCTTTCTTTCTGCTTGGCATGTTTTGTTTTTGTCCTGCATTGTTAATACAATACAGAATTCAAATTGTTTTGCAGAAATACAGTACATGGTATATAATGACAAAATAACATGAAAAGAAAGGCAGCATAAAAGTAAATGCAAAGTTTTGTTTTTGTCCACAAGAGGAAGAAGCATATAAACTAAATGCCATCTCCAATTCTTACTTCTGGTCCAGATGGTTCACATCTGGCCTAAAAGTCATTAGAAGTCATGAGATGAAATCCTCACCGTATTTTCATATTTGTTGATGCATTGATCTAGCCGTTGGCAAGAGAAAGCTAGTGATTAGAAACACTCTAAATATGTTAACTAAAGCAGACTCTATGAAATAATTCCGTTATACAACCTGAATTTACACTCCAGGAAGGGATCTTTTTTAGTGCAACAGTTTCAAAGATTTCATTGTCTTATAAACAGATAACAATACTTTGTAATCTTTTTTTTTACAGTTTTGGATTCTAATAAATTGTTTTAAGGACACAAATTACAACTAATTGCAGCAGCATTCTAAATAATTGATCTCTTGTCCATCTGTAGAGCAGAGGTCAAGTATTAACAGACCACGATCCGGATCCGGACCCACCTGCTGGCTAATCCACACCCAACCTGTTTAAAACATTTAGAATATAGATATAGATGCTGGAGATCAGCCTGTTTTCCAGTGTAGTCCTGTTTCTCTGACCGTGACTTGCTGGATGTGCTCTCTTCATCCTCTGACATGGGAGCTGGCTCGGACCTCGTCTGCCTGGCTGTGTGTTTCCTGGATTTTACAGCTGCTTTTTGTATCTCTGCTTCTGTCTCCTTGAACCCCAGTCAGCCTCAGCAGATGGCCGCTCACACTGAGCCTGGTTCTGCTGGATGTTTTTTCTTCCTGTTAAAAGGGAGTTTTTCCTCTCCACTGTCGCTACAAGAATGATTAGTGTGAGGGATTGCATTTGAGTCAATGAGTCGATGCAATCAACTGGTTTTCTTTAGATAGAAAACTTTGAATCAATTTCACTGGATGATCTGGTTGAACTGTAAAGTGACCTGAGATGACTTGTGTGAATTGGCGCTATATACATAAACTGAATTGAAATTGAAATTACTCCATGTTGTCCGATGACAGTGTCCAATTTAATTTCCATAGCTTCTCCTGTTGGTACGGTAAAGCCCACCAGAGCGTCCGGCACCAGGCTGCACATGATACAAATTATCCAATGAGCTGAGTCAGTCTGGGTTTCTGCTGCTGCTACTTTTAGACACAGCAGACAAACCTGTGGCAAGACCAGGTGATGGGAAAGAAGGAGAAGATGAAAAAAAGTGAAAGAAAGTGTAGAATGCTGGAAGAACTGCGTTGAACTGGTGACAAAAAAGTGAAATGATGTACTCATCGATGACCCTGCAAATTTTGAGTATGTTTGGCTCAACCTACTGCTTACTATGGAGTTTGTTTACCTTTACCTTCTCTATCATAGAGAGTATGAATGGTTCAGTGCTTCTGATTCTACTTTATCTACTGTACATCCATAAATGCCCAGGATTTAAACATCTGCATGGCTGCTGCTTACAAATGTTTCCCCACTAATGTAGCCTTTATTTCTGTGCAAGACATATTTGACCAGTTTTTATTAGTGGAGTTTATTAACAGAGGTCTATAGACAATCTTGTCCTCCAAAGGGAATTTAAAAGAGTCATTATACTGTCAGTGGCTCGTTTCATTCAATGTAACAACAGAGAGAATTATATCATTAGCAGAAAAATAGTAGTCATTATGAAGGTTTTTGTTAGCCAGAGAAGAGGCTTACAGATGAAAGAGATTTTAAAAGAAAAGATTTGCTGACTTTGTAGCCCCATGAAAGACTTAATAACCATAAATGTCTTCAATACTCACAAATGTCCCAGTTAAAGTAGAGCTTTGACAAATGGGCTGAGTGCTTCTCCTCACTTTCCGCCTCTTCTCTGCGCTCAGGGTCGTAACCTGATCCCAGCGGCCCCAGGTAACAGCCGCCTGAACTACACGGTGCTGATTGGAGAAACTCCCTGTGTCCTGACCCTGTCTGAGAGCCAGCTGTTGTGCGAATGGCCCAACCTCACCGGACAACACAAAGTCACGGTAAGTTCACAGCTCTGCATCCCCATGCCGCTTCATCTGTCTCCATCATAAACACCCCTTTGGATCATTTCTGCTGCCAAACTAATACTTTTCTGTTGTAAACTGTCCCCACTTTATTTCGATTTAAAAAGTACTTTTGACGACATAAAGTATTTTTGACTTTGCAAACAATTTTTTTGTCAATTAAAACCAAATACCAGTGAAAATCACCCTCTTTTCATAAATAATTCCAACACATATTAATGAATCTGAAAACATTCTGCTCAGTCTCCCTCCACCATGTTTTTCTATATAAATAATCCCATGAGTCTTTTTGAACCAACGTCTTCTGACAGATTCAGGATACATGCTCTGCTGCGTTCTCACTCCAAGGGTGCTGTTAAATATGCTTCGCTTAATTAACACATTGATCCTCATTGACTTCCAGATAACCTGTTGCTGAAAATAAGTTAGTTTTTGTCACAGGAGATAGAAACCTGATAAATGTTTGTTGCAGTGAATGTTTAAAGCTGGCTGTATGAACACTGCTGCAGACGTACAGGAAGGTTAATGCTGAGTTAAATCGGATAAGCGGATAAGGGAAATCATTTACCTGTTCATAAAATATTCTCAGCCTACTACCCTGAAACCTGTAAGGATATCTGTAGAAGCAAAGCCGTGTTTCTGTTTATCCACTGGGACATATTTTCTTTAACAGCTCTGGAGCCATAAGCAGTCTTTTGCTGTGGATCATGTGATGGCTTTCAGACAGGAGAGTCTGTTATGTCTTTTTTTATTTATTTTTTTATGAGGTTCATTTAAGCCTGATGATTGAAACATTTATTCAAACATGAAATATAATTTAAATAACCTTTATTAAGTCTCCAGCCAGACATTTCTCCACCCACCCTCAGCCCTAATAACTTCTCACTTCTCATCTTTTTCCTGGATCAGCAGTTAAGTTCAACATTTTTGACAAGGCTCATATTACAGTCATATCCTTAAAGAAAATCATGTATTTTTTAAACCTACTCCTATCCTGAAACAAGAATGTTTAATAAAATTAAAGGACAGGCTTTTAAACCTTAGAACACTTTGAAAGCATGGTGGTGGAAGCATTATGGTGTAGGAAGATAATGTACCTTAAAATCTAGATGGATTAGCGGACCATGGTCCGGATCCGAACTAGAGACTGACATTTTTTCGGGAATCCCACGGGTCACGGCATTCCCGTGGGATTCCCGTGGGATGGGAGTCAGTATTATTAACAATCACGTGATTGGGACGGTACAGGATTAAACATTAAAGGGAGCAGACGGGAGCGGGAGCAAACCAATAGTAACTAAAAAAAACTAGGATTGATGCCAAAAAATAAAATAAAATAGAAAGAAAAAAAATCCAGTACTGGCGCCGCCATTTTGTAGTTTTTTTCCTTGAAGCCTACACTATAATGCGAGTCAAAAAAACTACACGACCCAAAAACCAACAGTGCTTCCGCTCTGAGTTTTTCACCCACGCTCAAAAACAACAATGGAGGGACCAACAGTTAGTGGTGAACTCGACTTCGAAAAGTTTGAAAAAAGTGAAATCTTATTGAAGACAACAAGATTGGGAGTGGTGCAGGAGCGGGAGTCATTCTGAATGGAAGCGGGATGGGAGTGGGAGTAATTTCACCAGGAGTGGGACGGGACAGGATTTAAATTTCTACTCTGGCCCGGGATCAAGACGGGACGGGAAAATCCGAACCCACCTGCTGGCTAATTGGGAACCAACCTGATTTAAAACATTTATAAATTAATGCACATTGTCCGACGACAGTGTCTAACTTGCCTTCTCCTTTTAGTACGGTAAAGCCCTCCGGAGCGTCCGGCACCAAGCTACACATGATAAAAATTTGCCAATGAGCTGTGTCGGTCTGGGTTGCTGCTGCTAGCCACTCAGCAGACAAACCTTTGGCAAGCTGGGCGATGGGAAAGAGTGAGAAGATGGAAAAAAAGTGAAAGAAAGTGTGGAGAGCTGGAAGAACTGCGGTGAACTGGTGACAGAAAAGTGAAATGGTGCTCAAAGATGACCCTGCACATTTTGAGTATGTTTGGCTTAACCTGCTGCTGTGAAGCAGGATTCTCCACTATGAACAGAATCAAAAATAAATATGGATCCAGGCTCAACATTATGCCTTGATTTGTGCTTTAGAATGGCTTTGTCTCCATTCAAACCCAGGTTTAAAGCCTTGCAGGGCAGCATGAAGCCCACTGCTCTCATTAAGCCAGAAAAAAGAGAAAAAAATCAGAATCGGTCAGTTCAGGTGTTTCATAAAATATGTGAATCAAGAAATTGTCTATATACCAAGCTGAATGATTGTTGTTCTCTACTTCAAAAAATGCTGCTATTTGATTGGTTACCCGTGCAACATCTCCAGCTTAAAGTACATCCTGACGCTGCCCTTCAGCTTTACCTGCGTCTGGCTGTCTGCAATTCTGTGACTAAAAATCCCTGATTTACTTTGACTAAAGCAGACCTTCAGAGTCACCGAGTCGCTCCAGGAGCGTCTGCACCACAGAAGGTCAAACCTCATCCTGGCGACATGACACTCACTGTGAATTCATCTGGATTCTTTTTTTAAATATCCTAATAGCACACCCGGTCTGTCTGCACTTCCACAGCTTTTAAACTTATCACCGCTGTCCTTTCACAGTCATTTCACTATATCTTTATGACATTTACTCCATGCTAGCTACAGTCAATAAACCTAGAAAGCCACTGACAGCGCATCCGTGTAATTCAATATGATAGCTCTCAACAGAACCAGCCAGCTCCAAGGTGGATCTCTCGTGGAGTGCTTCACACATCCGCCACTTTTCCTTTTTTGAACGAAATGTCATGTTAAATATCGGAGAGATGCGATATGTTGGAAGTGCTTGTGGAGTTGGTCGTTCGTGTGACAATAGCCGTGGAAAAAAATAGAGCTGTCTGTTCCTATCTGCTCTTCTCTGTGTGTGTGTTTGTGTGTGCAGCTACATAACATGTGTTTATGGCTTGCCTGTGGTGTGTGTGTGTTAGAGCCGGCGCCTTTGTGAAGTATGTTGTGCAGGACACAGCTGCAGCAAAATCTTTATTCCCCGTACACAATGACCTACATACAGGGGACCCCAATGGGTGCTGATACATCCTGGCCCCAGGTTTGTGTCGTCGCTGTGTGTGTTGGTTTCTGTTGGTGCACTTTAAGAACCGCTCCATGCGTGTCTTTGTGTTTGCCCTCAGATGTTCAGCTGTGTGTTGGCAGCTGTGTGCCTCCCTTGAGTTTCTGAAGAAACTTGTTTGTTGTTTTGGCCTTCAGCTTTTTAAGTTCTTCTGCCAGTCCTTCAGTCTGTCAGTGAAATAAAAATAGACGAGGCACGGAAATATGTCACCAACTCCACGTTACTTCACCTTCTGCAAGATCTCAGTCAGATTATGTTTTATATAATTACTTTTCTCAAACACACAAGTGCCCTTATAATGCCTATTACCTTACCAATCCACTATGTAGGAAGTATGATATACACTGAAAAATCTAACAGAAAAGTTAGAAATATTCACTCTTATAAGTCAGATAGTCTTTTAGAAACTCAAAAATCCAACCTTTTTCTGAATGGTGAAGGTTCAATGCCTTAGTGCTACTGCACAAGGTCTCCCTTACAACAACAGTCTCAGGTAGTAATGCTGTTACTGAGTTGGCATATAATCTATGATTTTATTGAAAATTGGATAACTTTGCATGGGAAAAATCTCTGCAGGTCAATCAAACTAAACAAGGACAAAATATACGTGTCTTTCTGCAGATAACAGGAAGGTTGAACAGACTTTTGAATCCTTTAAGGCAGTGGTAGATTACTCAGGACCAACTGTCTTCCATGTTTTCAGTGTTTCTCTGAAGAAGATGATAAAGTAGCGTTTTGCCTCCTTTCAAAATGATATGTGCTATTCTATATTCTTCAGTCTACAGGGCAGGATGATGGTTTGTCCTGCAGTCTACAAATCTGGGAGCGCACACTGGAAAAGCGATCTAGAAATTAAGTGTGTTTACCCTTAATTTAAGTAGCTAAATTAGATAGTTTGCCTATGGAATGAGTATTTTTACTCTTGAAATAAGATAATTAGATAACATACACTTAAAATAAGACAATGCAATTGTGTGTTCTTATTTTAAATGTAAATTGTCTTGTTCCACTGGCAAATTATATCTTTTACCTCCTCAATCCAACAACAAATTTGCTTATTCTAAGAAAAAAAATGACTTATCTAGATTTCAATTTTTTTCCAGTGCAGGAGGGATTAGTGGTGTGAAGAAGGCCATTGATTAGGCAAACCATTTTTTTTTAAGTTTGTGAGAATGGTAAATGGCATGTACTTATATAGCACCTTTATTCAAGTTAGGAGACTTGACCAAAGCTCTTTACACTACATTCATTCACCCATTCACACACACAATCACACACTGATGGTGGCAAGCTACATTGTAGCCACAGCTGCCCTGGGGCTCACTGACAGAAGCGGGGCTGCCGTACACTGGCGCCACCGGGCCCTCTAACCACCATCAGTAGACAATGCAGGTGAAGTGTCTTGCCCAAGGACACAACGACACTGAAAGTCAGAGTCGGGGCTTGAACCGTCAACCCTTCGATTTCAGGGCAAACTCCTACATCCAACGCCACTGTCGCCCGAGAAAACATAAGGTGGAATTGGCCAATGTGTCGGGGACAAGAAACAGAAAGAACTTAGTAACATTCACCTTCTATTGAGGAACTTTATTTGTGGAATATGTCTTCTGGCAGAGTTTAAATCCCCACTAATGCTGCCACAGACGATTGAAATCAGAGGTCTATGATACATCCAAAATCTTTCAGTTATAATCTTGTGCTTGTTCCTTGTGCAAGTTCCTCACTATCACAAATTATCAGGACAAAAGTATCTTACTGAAATAATCTTTTAATATATATATATATATATATATATAAAAAAAAATAATAATAATTTTAAGACAATGTTTTTTTTCACCCAGCTGAGGTGTTTTACCATGTAAACAGAGATTTATTCCAGGCTTTTAGAGGTTTTATGCATATAAAAAGCTTGCTGCCCAGCCCGCACGAACCATTCAGAAACCCCCACCAGGAGACGGCATGGACCAGGACCGAGACAGGCCCTTCAAACCACCATCACCCCAAGCAGCATACTCCACAGAACCAAAACCCCCGACGCCCTGCCAGGGCACCTGTCCAAGGCCAACACACCCCAGGGATTCCAGACCCCCGGACCAACCCAGCGGCAGCACAGCTACCAGGCCAGTAACCGACGTCCGTCGCCACAGATCCCCCCAAGACCACTGCAAGAGGCCGGTTTATGCTGCCTCGAGACATCCTAAGCCCCGCCTTGATGGGGGCGGCCGCCCCCGGGGTCAGACTCACCATGCGTCCAGGATGCTACTATTTTTTTTACTTTTTCTTCAGTTACAATTAATGTAAAAAAATTTTAAACAGAATCCCCACATCTAAATAGATTTTTACTTCTAAGCAAATCTAAGCCAGAAATAAGGAGCGATCTTGTTTCTTTCAGGACATAGTTCATATCAACGCAGATAATTAGTTGCCTAATCCTAAAATCCAATTCTAATAGCCTTTTTCTATTACAAATTAAATTTGTAGTTATTGATTATATTGAGACTGATGTAACAGCTTCTCTAAATCCCCTTTATTTTCCGGCTCTGTTAATGTCAACATGAAAGTGCTCTTACAAGAACTTCAAAGCTTATAATCACACTTAATTTGAATCGGTTATCAACCCCCTCGGGGGATAGCTTGATTTGATGGATTCCAGTGACACACTCTGCATATATAAATGCAGTTAGTCAGAAGGAAAAAAAAACATCAGATGTGTTTGACTTTCCATAATTTCTACAGCTCCTTGGGGAGCGATTTAAATGCTGGTGATTACTTTGTTTGATTACTTATATTGCATGTGCATATATGCAAAGCCTGCATGTGTGCGTATATCCTGAATCGGTCATCTTTTATGATGCCATTATGACATTAATGTCTCTGTCGTCCTGTTCTGCTTTACTTTATCCTTGTCCACATGCCCATCGTTCACATTTCGACTTAAATCAGTTAAAGTTGACAGTGATGCATGAGGACATTAACATGAAAATATCTAACCCAAATACGAAGCCTTCAAAGACATGGGCAGCTACTGCAGCTAGAAAAGAACTGAGTGAGTTAACTTGTGAAATCTTCATTATCAAAGCCCTCTGAAGTTGTTCCCCCAAAGGCAGGAATTGAGAAGCTTTCCTACAAGAAAAGTTCACAACAGTCGAACAGGTGATGTAAGCCTTCACAGCACAAGCCTGTCTCAGATCTGGCTGTTTAGTGCGAATACAGGAAAGATGAAAATTTAATGACCTTTGCTTTAGAGATCGGCTCGGCCAGTTTCTCTTTCATCATATCAACAACTTTTGATCCCTTCAGACTACCTTATCTGATCTCAAACAGGGGCTGATGCAGAAATTAACCGTGTTTTTCTCTCACTTTCCCAACAGATGGTGTTAGTTTAAAATCTCAAACTGGGGACTGGAATATTTCTCCACAGAAATATCTTAATTACTTTGGTTTAGCAACCTTTGAGCAATGCAATAAACTCTTTGGTCAAACAGTTTATTTGGGCACCAGCTGAGGACAGGTTTTACTAAGTAGCTACGGTGAATCATAACAGTGTGCATGAGAACTAAACACACACTAATCAAGGAAATGAATGTCTGATTAATTCAAAACAAACTATTTGAAGGAGGGTAAGTTGGAATCAGAGCGTTGTCTTGGTACACAAATACTCAGACAATTATTCTGTCCATAAACAAGCTTCTGCTGTGATTCTGCTTTAATATTGACCACTCAACTACTAGAGCTCATTTAAATCAGATGGTGTGCTAGGACAAAAATTACTTATAAGTAGCATTGTGCTGATACCTGTCTGTGCAGTATTGGCCGATACCGATACCATCTGTACCATCGGTGTATGTATAGATAAAGAACTGCATACTACTTGGATGTAAAATAATTGCCATCATGGCTTTGTCAAGCTGCTGCCTACCTTTGTGAAGGAGAAAAAAAAACTAACACAAAGTTAATCCATTAGAACTTCTTATTGCCTACATGGAATGGGTGACAATAGTTGAATAAACTTTTGGCTCTCAAAATAGTATCGGTGCCCTATTTGTTGGTACTCAGCCATGCCAATACCACCATTTTAGTGCTGGATCGTTATCGATGCAACACTACTTATAACCATAATCCATGTGAGGGAACTCTGAGAAGCCCTAAGCTGACATGCTTCTTCTGCCCAAAATCAGCTTTAAAGGTATAGTGGAGGATGTTCATTTTCCAGATGGATCAAATACGTGGTCCATCTACTTTTTCAATCATTCTAGTGATATGTTTACGTAAGGCCGTCCTACGTGCTTGTCCTCATTTTCACTCACCGGTAGTGAGTCTGACATAGTGGAAAAATTGCAATTCTTCTTTCGGAAAGTCAGCTTGTATGAGCGGTGCAAACAGGAACTTTTAAACGGGGCATGCACACGCTTAATAGGTGTTCCCTCTGCAGGTGTTCCCTGCAGGGTTGTGCAGGTGCATTTCTTTTAAAGGGGCATATCTTTTCAAAAATTTGTTAGAATTCTCCACTATACTTTTAATAAGTCAGTTAGGATTTTTTTTGCTTTTTTTAAGACGTAACTGTGTTCATTTTTTACTTCTATTTTTACATTTGAAGTAGAGTTTAAATATTTTTGGGTTTTTTCTTTAAAAAAATATATATAAAATAACCCTTTGAAGCCTTTATACCATCCACAAACTACACCCTCAGCATAATAAAGACACCACCTTGCCAAACACTTATTTTAGTGATTTTGTTTTTGTGTTTCTTCAACTCCTCCACACTCTTCCTGTCTAATATCAGAAAGGTGAACTATGACCACATAGTTCATCTTCACAAGACATTTTGGCTGCAATTTCCAACTAATTTTGAAGCAGAATCTTTTTTTTGGACTTATATCATGTCAGTCCATGGAAAATCAAACATGGAGTGAGAGGATATATTGCATATTATTGACATTCCAAAAGTTTTAAATTCATATCAGATTACAATCTGATGGATCCTTGCCTTGTTGCCCAATTTCTTTCCCCCTGAGGGTGACAATTTGTGATGGATAAAACTGGGTGTTTTTACACTACAGAAACATCTGAAATGGTTTTGCTATGAAAAACCTTTTTTTTGTTTTTTTTGAAGGACCTGATCTCAACTGTGTGAAAAAGTTTGGATCCACCTTTAGAAAGCAACAAGTTTAGAAGAACAAAGTGATTCATTCAACAAAGTGGGCAAACATCTGCCAGCATTATGTTTGAGACCTTTAAAAACAGTTCTAAAGTATCAGTTGCTGTGTATGTATAGATCTGAGCTGCACATTTTTGGGGGGATTAAAGAAAAAGAAAAACAAAAAAAAAACCAAGTAAAAGTTGTCTACCAAGTTGTTTATAGATCTATTTGCAGTCTTTCCAGTCTCAAAAAGAAAAGTTTAAAGAGAAAATTAAACTCTCCAAAGTGATGTCTGTGCAGGAGTACGCATATTTATGTGTTAAACTTACCACGGCTTGTTTTTGTGTTCAGATCCGGGCCGGTGGATTCGAATACTCACCAGGAACTCTTCACATCTACTCGGACAGTCTCCTCACCCTTCCTGCTATCATTGGCATTGGAGGGGGTGGGGGCCTGCTCCTCTTGGTGATTATCGCCGTCCTCATAGCCTACAAGAGGAAGTCGAGGGATGCGGACCGCACCCTGAAACGTCTGCAGCTCCAGATGGACAACCTCGAGTCACGAGTGGCCCTGGAGTGTAAAGAAGGTGGGCATTTCTTAAAGTACCTACCTTCTTTCAAAGATGATTCATTGACAGATATGTCGATTTATTTTGATAAGCCTTCCTTGTTGGAATGGAACTGGAAGGGAAAGTGCAAGATGTACAGTTTTAAAGGTATTTCTTTGAGCCTGAGTTTCAAAAGGTCGATTTACTGCTAGACACGGCATCACGTCGACAGACATATCGGCAGTGATTAGAATGAATGAATCTGCAGAGAGCTGGAGATGCAATCAATTCCAGTTGTATTCTATTATCATCACTAACAATAGAGTGTGTACAGGGTACGTTTGCTGAGGTAAAAGCATAAACTGTCAATGCAGAGTCATCGTAAAAACACTATTTATCTTCTGATTTACTATAAAACACAAGTATAAATAAACAACACAGACTCGGCATGTTTAGTTTCAGTAATAGAAAAACAGAAATGTAGAAATAAAAGCAGACGGATCAAGTGCTGGAAAAGGGCCTGGCTGCATGCTGCTCGGTCACATTTTCAAATAGAAGTATTTTTATAGATTAGTTTGGAAAATGGAAATAATTTTAAGCAAAAGTAGAGGGAAAAAAAGCAGCTTTTGTTTATTGAGTGAGCTCTACAGGCTGATCCTTTTTACAGAGGATACAAAGCATTTTTAAAGAGAGACTTTCTCTTAGGAAAAAACATGCAGTTGTATTGTTATTGTTATTTTGCAATGATTGATGCACATTTTCCTTACTCTTCTCTTTCCTCTTTTTTTTTCTTTTTCTGCACAAGTCTTTGAGAGCTTTAAGATCTCGGTCACAAATACCTAAATAAGATTTGGCAATCTAAGGATGTGAAAATCAGTCTAGCTTGCCATCTATATTATCTGTAAATTTTTAAATCATAGATCTCCAGTATGAAGGAACCTCTCACATCGGGAGCACTTAAAAAAATGCATGACATGTTTGAAAGACATCACAGAATTTGATGTTCCACAAAATTTATTTTGGCTCCTTTTGCTGAGACCAACATTCCAGAAGATTTTTCTTTTCTTATAAACATCATTTGTAGTAGGATAGAAAACTGTGAAAGGAGCTTTAGCTGTTCTATTACAAGTCTTAGATCATCACGCAAATATTTATATCAAAGATAACCAGAGTAAACTACAAAAGACATTTGATTTACTAAGAGGAAAAGACATTTTAACCAGCCTGGCTCTATGTGAAAAAGTAATCACGCCTTACACCTAATTACTAATTGTGCCAAAACGTTTGCCATTAACTGGCAATAGATCCGGATGAATTTTGTTCTGCTTTTCGTTGCAGAATTGCACTAATTTAGTCACTCTGGAGGATTTCCAGCATAGATACAATTAAAGTCACACTACAGCATCTCTGTAAGATTAAAGTCTTAAACTAGGGCGCTGAAATCCTTCATGTGGGGTTTCTTGATATAATTCCATCACAGACTCTGAAGCAGCTCCACACCATTACACTACCAACACCATGCCTGTATGTTGGAGTGAAATAACTGCCTTCTTGGACCTTCCTCATGTCCAACCACTTGTATTTCTGTCGGTTTTTTGTTGACCCTTAATGAATGAATGCCAGTTCCATTCCTTGTTTCTCTGAAAGGCTCACATCATTGTGTTTTGCATGAGCAGTATTTTACTTTATAAAACACATTTCTGCTGACCCTTCTGCCTCCAGCTGCCAGTCTGCATACAGCTCGATCCGAGCTCAACTCTTTCTGGCAAAATTAACTTAGACCTTGACTCAATCTAGTGATATCAGCAGTGCTTAAGTTGTTCTTATGGGTTCTTTCACCACTGCCTGTATGCGTCATTGATGATGTATGCCAATAACTTTCTTTATCAAAGAAACACAGGCACGTTATATTCCTATAGCAAAAAGATCAAAATCCAGCTGATTTTGATAATATATGGCTTCCCTCCTGATAGTGTTTTGAGCCTAAATAGAACCTCAGCACTGGGTGCGATGAGCTGACATAAACAGATATGGCGCCATCTACTGGCAGTACTATTGCACAACTGAAGAGCCAGATGGTGACTATTGGCAGAGCTACTACTGTAGATAAGTCTCAGCCATGCTGTTATGCTTCAGTAAAAATGGACAGCTCAGAGAATAGGGCATAAAAGCATTGCTAACCCAATTAGCATTGGAATCTACTGATGGGTTTCTCAACTTCTCAGCAACCACGGAATTCTTCTTGAGCTTAAACCCCAGATTTACTGTACTCCAACGTTCAGACTGTCTTCTCAGCACAACTCCAGGTTTATGCGTCTTGGGATTAAATGTCTTTCTGCAGCTTTTTACACTTAATCCTGGACAAAATGTACAAACACTATGCCGTCGGGACATCTTATTGTTTCATTAAAGTGTATTGAACCAGAGTGAGTTACTGCCACACAAGTTTCAAAAATGTCAAACAATCCAGGTTTTCTATAAGTAATGTTAAATTTGTTAAGTTTGCCAAAAAAAAAAAAAAATAATGGAGGAGAAATTGTTTAGGGAGAAAACCCTTTTCTTTAGAACTGTAAATAATACATTTGACTAAGCTGTAATTACTTTTATAGATATGCAGGGTTGACTGCATTTAATTTAGCTGGGGTTTGGGGACCACTTAGTTCTCCTTTAACAATGCATAATGCTAAAAAATTAGGGGTTATGGCTCAGATATAACGTACATTACAGATAAGGTAATGATTTCCACATCAACATAATACATAATTTTTCTGATGTTTTTATACAACCAAATGTGTCAGTGTTCAATCCATGCTACTGAATAAATTACTTAGAAAAGTTATATATAGAGGGGCAATAGATAAGAGGACCAATAGCCCTGCATCTGATTACCTTTTATAACAAAACTGTAGAAGGAATGCTTGTAGGAGAGCTTTCTTTAGGATGCAAACATGGATTTACTGTAGGTGTTTACACTCAGGATAATGCAACAAGCACACTAGGCTGTGGTTAAAAGTGCTAATATGATCAAACCACCGTCTTGACACAGAGTCATAACTCTTACCAGCAGCCAGACATGTCAAACAAAAGCTGTCAGAAGGTTTGATTCAAAGCTATTTTCAGAGCAACACTTCCACATACCCTGTCAGAGGCGACATTTTACCAAGCATGTTCTGACCTTATTTTAGTGCTCCAGTTTGAGATGTCACATGTGAAAAACAAACAATGTATGAATCAACACCCAGTTTTGTGAAGGAGATGAAGCATGGCCTTATTCCCACCCCTCCGCCCCGCCTGCTGCACGCCCATCTGGCCCACAGAGAGGAAGAGGCACGTGTGGGTGGGGTAGCAGATGAGGTGGGCGGCCCACTATGCATGTGATACCTAATAGTGAGCTACATGTGTGTGGGCTGTGCTCTAAAAATCGTCTGGGGAAAGAAATGAGAGGCTTGTTTCAGGCATTTATGAGAATCAGACATCACAACAAATCCCTTTATTTATAGTCCTCTTATTAACAAACATGGAGTAATCGAAAGATACCAATAAAAATACTATGGAAGCAATGGATGTTTAAATTATGGAAGGAAGGATCCACTTTCAGGTTTAGAAAATATGTGCTTGATTTCTTGAAATTCTGAGCTGATTTTATTTAGTGACCTAGATGATGGTTGGAGCAGGAAGTTAGAAATGACAGGATGACACAACTAGAAACACACACTCGCCTGCCAGAACGGGTCCCCGAGTGTATCAACAAAACAGAGCATGCTAACACAACTTGGCATAATCTTTAACTTTTCATGTTTCCAGCTTGAACTTTATTTTTTAATCGTTTAAAGTAGAGGGAAGGCTTATTTTACATGTTCTGGCATTGCATGGTATTGATTTAGACTCTTTATCTTTATCCAGCAAAGTTTGACCTGAACCTATTTCAGTATGCAGCAGTAATCCACTCATACATAGCTGTTTATGCCACCTTGTGAGACAGATTCCAATATTCTTTTTGAACAACCTTGGTTTTTTATGGATGCAATGTCTGCTGCTTCTCTTTGTAGTTAAATATTAGAAGTATAACACTGGCATTAAGTGAGACAGGGGAAGCATATAGTGCTTTAGATGTTAAGAATCACCTTAATCATTCATTGGAACTCTCTACATTACAATTTGTCCTCCTTATTTAACCCATTGAGTCAGGGAGCAGTGGGCTACCATTGTGCAGCACCCAAAGAGAATCCTGGGAATAAGGGTTGTGTTCATGTACTAAAAGCAGTATCTGGGATTCAAACCAGGGACTTCACAAAATGCAAGCCCCCTTCTATATCAATTAGCAACATTTTAACTGTGACCTCTGACCCTTATGAAGGGTCGATGTTTTGTTGTTTTTTTTGTTTCTGCAGTCCCTAATCAAAGTGGCTTTATGTAAATCTTCAGACCATTTCCTGTTGCCAAACCGGTCTAATTACTTTTTCATTCACTTCCTGCTTTTCCTCAAAGGTTTCCTCGAAACTCTAATTTTGTTTCATTAGTTGTTACAAATAACATGTTTTGTAAATAGAAATGCAAAAATGCAGTCCAGGAAATTAACTTGGGGAAAAACAAAAGAAAAAAAAATCTAAAAAAAAAAAAAGGTTTTGAGAGTATTTAGCTCTTTTCTCATAGTTTTATTTTTTTTATTATTATAATTTTTCATTTTACAGATTCTATATTTTCAGATTTTGTATTACAATTTGTTTTATATGTAAAATTTTTAAATTATATTCTTTACAAATGCTTTATAGATCACATTCTCTTTACTTCTGGCAGCAGGCTTTCCTCTGGAGTGAGGTGTAAAGACGCTTGATCTTTTGAACTGTATGTATTAGAAGCCACATTTTATTGGTCAAGAGTGACCGCCTGTATTGGGCTTGAAGTTATCAGAATTTGATCTATAAGAATGCATTACATGATAGAACAAAAATAAAGTAAAGTTGTTTTCTGAGAATAGCTCATCAATTTCAAATCATTCTCACATTTGTTTCTTTCCCCATATTTACTGTTTATTCACTTGACATTTTTTTCTTTCCCTGCATCTTTTACTCCACATTTCTCTTCTGAATTTATTCTAAAAAAACACTGTTTAGTTTTTCTCAGTTGTGTTCCAGCTTCAATATTTTCTCTCTGTCTGTAAAACCCTGATGTTGCTTTCCTTTTTTCTCTGCTCGTTTTCTTCCCTCCTCCTTTATCTTCTTAGTTTCCTCTCATTTCTCTCTTCTCTCTGGTGGACCAAACAGTCCAATAACAGCTGGAGGAAATTATGCATGAAAACTCATCCGTTGCTCTCTTTAATAATTATCCAGTCATGCAATTAATTGACTTTCCTTTTCAGGAACTTCGTTCTCTGTCTCTTGCCTCTGTCTTTTCTCTCCACCTGAGCTGTTGTTTTTTTGTTCTTTTCAGAGATTTTATAGCTCTCCCTTCCATTTGTTCATTCTTTCATTTGTGTTTAGTTTGCTTCTATTGATGAATATTTTTTCTGAGGTGTGTCTTCAACATTTTTGGTGTGCTGGAATAAAGAAATTTAAGTTAAAGGGTAAAAAGCATGCACTTGTTGCATTATACATGCATGGGGGAAATTTATCCTCAATATTTTATTTTTTAATTGACCATCAGAAACCTAAAACATTCATCCTCTTTGCAAAATTTCAGAGTCTAGGTGTCAGATGCAAAACATTTCAGAAACCGTATGTATCAAATACGATACATTTGGCATTATAGGGTTAAACTTTTCCTCTGACTGAATTTGATCCTAATAAAATCTCCTTTCTTCTGCCTTCTCAGTCATTCTACCTCAGTTCAACTCACATTTTATTCCTGCTTGTTAGAACCTCATTAATGTTTTTCCCTCCAATATTTTATATCTCTGGAATAAAACTCGCTTAAAAACCAAATTCTACTTGAATAAATTAACCTTCTGGCCTCATCAATGGGCACCTAATATTATTTATCAAATCTAATATAAAATGTTTGCAAAAAATGTTGAAATATTAATAAAGCTGCTGGTGACATTCAAGTCCTGACTGCTTTTATTGTCAAGTTTAAATGTTGAATGCCGTTTTATTTGGCTTTAACTGTTGAATAGCATCTTTTACTATAATGATCAGCTTGGCTGTAAACTGGATTGAAAGGTTAATAAGGATGAATTTGTAATGTCTGCTTTGTGTCAAGGTTTGTCCTCTGGCAGAACAAACCTAAATAGATCCTAGTTTTTCTAAAAAGTCAAATTAAATACATTTTTCAACCCAGGATTCTTGTACTTCAACTCAATGTTACCTCAGAATTTGGGGTGTCTGTTGTATAAAAAATAAAAGTTCAGTAATTAGATCTGATCAACATGTTAAATTTCCCAGTGTGTGCCAGTCAAGCATTTCTTGGTGAAGTAATAACGTACTTTGTCCCGTTTAGCTTAGATCCAGCTAAGATTTTTGTATGTTTTTTATTGCCTTTTATACAAATTACATCTTTTTGATGCAGAAAAAGCTCAAAGCTAGCTATAATAACATGGTGACTGTAAGAAAGAAGTGATTGAAGAATAATGTGTGATTCAAAAATGATTTTCAATTTGATGTTATCCTTACACAACGAAGAAATATGTTAGATTTATGTAAGGAATATTTTTTTTTACCATAGTGGTAAATTCATTTCCCTGGTGGCAGGATAATCAAAGTGGCTTCCTGCAGTAATAACTTAGAAAGTACACGATTGGTTGAAGAATATCATGCAAGTTTCATGGTGCATTTGGGTTTTTGTTGAAAAATTGAGAACTCCAACTGAGGAAAGCAAAAAAAAATACTGAAAATAATGTGAGGAAGATCCTGATTGATTGAAGTACCAATAAAATGAAACATCTTGTAGTGTCTGGACCTTCTAGTCTCGTGAGACCATCCTGATCTTGCGAGCTTTCAAGATTTCACTCCCAGATCAGTCTGGAGACTCTCCGTTAAAGAAAATTTGGAGCCGTTCACCAAAGAACATCCAATCAGCGTTGGCTTTGAGGCGGGTTGAGGTGTGACGCAACGAGAAGCGCCACAGTTCAGTCTAAAGAACATGGCGGCTTCAGCCGATGAAACTAGCGTTAGCGTGGCTATCGAGCAAGTTTTATCGGAATTACAGAGTATTTCTTCACTGAAAGAAGAGCAAAACACTGCTCTGGAGGCTTTTCTCAGAGGAAAAGATGTTTTTGCTCTTCTCCTGACTGGTTTCAGCAAGAGTTTGATCTATCAATTATCTCCTCTTCGTCGTCGCTCTGATCTGATTGGTTTATTTGGCCCGTCTATCACCAACATAGGCCAATCAGCTAACCAGTATTTTCGCCCCTTCCCAAAATTACTTCAACGGAAGGTTTCCAGATGGATATGCAGAGCAAATCCATCTGGCGGAGTCAGGTTATGGACCTTCGGCTTTACTAAAAAATATAGAACTTTCTTAAGTGAGCAAGTTCTACGTTTTGCTTTAATATAAAATGCAGAAAACAAGTTTAATGGCTTGCATTGCTAATAATTACTAGCTTCAAGATTATTTTACTTTGCTGATCCCACTGGTTTAGATCTGTAATAGTTCATTAATACCAATTTGATTATATAACTTAGCATGATTATCTTCCAGCAATTGTCCTGGCTTACTTTGGTGGTATGCACCAAGAGTTTTCAGTGTAGTTCGTCACAAAGTGTCTTTTTCTAATAGACTGATGTTTATACCAAATATATTCTAATAAAAACAGTACCAGTTTTTATTCCAAATAAGCAGAGTCTAAGTAGCATCTAACCATAGTTTGAAAGCTATGATGTTATAATGTTTAAACTGACCCTATTATTCTCCACCTTTATCCATCTGCCTCTTTTTTCTGCAGCTTTTGCTGAGCTCCAGACAGACATCCATGAACTGACACAGGAACTGGACGGAGCGGGGATTCCCTTCTTGGACTATCGTACGTACGCAATGAGGGTTCTGTTCCCAGGGATTGAGGATCACCCTGTCCTAAAGGAGATGGAGGTACGGGTCAGTACACCATCAACCAAACTTCATACTGAAACAAACTAACAAAAACCTTCAAAAGATCCAATAGCTGCAACCCGTACTAATCCACTAACACTGCCTGTGAGTGAATTTGTTTTTAATATTTTTAAAGTGTCCCTCTGGCTTTTCTGCTTAATACCTCTTTGCCATCATCCCATGATGGGCTTTTATCAAAGGCAAGTTTTTGAAAAAGTCTGACACTAAAAGGAGCTCAAGTTGCAGTTTACCTCAAAGCAATCACATAACCTACATTTTACCTACTTTGCCTTTTATGCCTTTATCCTCATCAAATTCATTGCAAATAACTCTTCAAGAGCCCTGGTGTCATCATTAGACGGGTCTCTGAGGAAAATCCTCTTTTTTTTTAATGCAGATAGAGTTCTAAAGTCGCAATTCATTTAAATAATTTTTCTAAAAACTGAGATGAAAAAAATGGCTTATAAGATAGAAAGTAACGTAGAGATTAAGAGTCAGACAAGGACTGCTCCCTGCAATATACATCAGTGTTAGGTTATTAATTGAATATCTGCATCCACCCTCTCAGCACAGCTGAATGAAGATGGTGAAGCTGACACGCTCAGACCTTTCACCACCCAGACCAGCTGAAGTAGAATTAATAGCATGTCTCTAAAAACGGATCTCCTCCACCACTAAAACAACAAAAAAACAAAGCTGGGTTTGTAATCAGCAGAATCATTAAGATGTAGGATCCAGTGCTGCTCCAGTGGCTTTGATTGGAGCGCTGACTTTTTGAAGTTAAGGAATAATTTGTTTGACCTTTTACAGCTTCATTTAATCACTCTAATCCAGACAGTGGATTTGCTTTGGAAAAGAAAACTCTGCAGGCGGTCTCCAGGCTGTCATCTTTTTACCTTTTTATTCGTTCTTTATGATTCATCTTTGGCTTAACTTGGAAAAAAAAAAAAAGGAATCCGGCTGCCTTGAGAGTTGTGCTAGTTTTAAATTCATGTCAGTTTCACATTAAAACAGCGACCAAACTACATTAAACCATTTAACTGTTACAAACATCTAATGACTTATTTATTTATGTGTTTCTTTTTCTCGTTGTTTAAAACATACATTAAAACTCTGAAAATCATCACTTCTAATTTACATAACCCTTGTAAATTTTGGTGATTGCAGCCTCCATATAAATAATCAAAATAACAAAGAAATGACGTAACAGAAATATTAAAGTTAAAACTCCCCCTAATGTTGTATTTGACACTAAAAGACAGGTATTATTTAAACTCACACTTCGACCTGTTAAATTCAGATTTCTTACATTCTTTTCCTCTTATTCCCTTAAACCCAAACGCTAACCAGCAGAGCATTTCGTTCATACATCTCTGATCTATGTCATCATAAGGTCATACATCTTGGTGATATATTGAGATTTAAAGATATGGAGAGTTTTTAATAGATATAAGTTGAAGTAATTAATGTTTATTTGGAGATAGTGTGTATTGTTACAGTATATTAGAATTATACGTAAGACCTGTCACTTTTTTCTTCTTCTAAATTTGTCTGCACAGAACTTCCCCTTCCCCCACCTTCAACATTATTTTAGTTTGCTGATCCCACTGGTTTAGATCTGTAATAGCTCATTAATACCAATTTGATTATATAACTTAGCATGACTATTACCCCCCAACCACCCCCCCACCCCCCCCGTCCGTTTCCCTCATTTTGTCTGTTTGAGGAGGATTATTGTTCAATATAAACCAGTATGGTGGGGGGTTTTTTTACCTCTTTGAGACGTACATCTACGACTGTTTGTTTATAAATGTGTCTGTATGACATTTGCCATAAAGCCTTAATTCAAATGTGTCGTTTTATAATTACTTTATGTGGAAAAAATTATTTTGAGACATAAAGAGAACATTGCCATCCCTGTTAAATATTTAGAGAGATTTTCCTATGGCCCAGCCTTAGGATTGATGGTAATTATTAGCTGCTGTTATCAGATTTAATGTGAATTTATTGCAATTATAGATCCTAAAATGAATCAAGGCTCACGAGCAAACCCTTTCTAAGAATAATGTGTAATTTCCTCAAGTATAGAACGTTGTGATAAATGTGTTCTTGTTTAGCTAATGATCAGATGGTAAAAAAAAATCAACTATTAAAGGGTTTAAGACTGTCATTTTTTATAGTCAGGTGCAACCCAATTTTAATGTAGGTACATTTAATACATTTCAGCACGGAAATTGTAAATTCAGAACTTCAACTATTAAACCTAATCAGCTAAATTTCAGTTGAACTGATTAGTGTGTGACACCATAAATTTCCTCAATATTCTAATACACAAATAAAAGTTTGCGTAATAACATATAAGTTTGGCTTTTTAACAGATAATATATTTTTTTGCTTTTTTATGATATTTAATTTTTTTGAGATGTACTGAAGCCCCTAGCACCAAATTTGGGGTATACTGTGAATGTCACTGGTCTTATACCCTCGCGTTGGTGAAAAAGGGAAAAAAAAGGGAATTTATTTAGGATGGAAAAGCATAAATATGGTTTCATATTTTCTGTCAGGCAGACTAAACAGTTTGTAAGAATATCCAAAACAGTGACATAAACGTAATAAAATTTTTATCGTCAATATGTTTGAAATAAGTTAGGGCCCAATTTATTTGAAATGAGAACATTACAGAAAAATAGAGATAATAAAATAAAATATCTGTATTTTTATCTGGGGTTCTGGGTACTCAGGTTAACTTCTCCCCCTACTACCTGCCCATGGATAAACTTATAGTAATGGGAGTTTTTTTTTTTTTTTTTTTATTAATGTATCGATTCCAACATCATAAGACTGTAACTGTATAATTGAAGGAATGAGTTTTCTGTTTCACTTCATCATAAAACAACATTTTAATTGACATACGTTACACTCTAGTCCTCTAGTCCTGCTCCTTTAAGATGTATCTCTGCTTAAACACGTTAGAATCAAATAAACATTTCATTAGCAGGACTTTCTAGACAGGACTTTTCTTGGGACCAGAGACCTAAAACATGCAGGATGCCGGTCCTTAAGGACTTGAGCTTGAGACTCCTTTTTTATTAGCGGCTGAAGTAGGGCCAATTTTTAAAACTTATTTCTTCAAGAGAGGTTTTCACTTTATATTGCAAGAGATTTGTCTTGCAAATTCTGGATGACCCTCCAAAATAAAAAAAAACAACTCGATCAAACTTAAAGGAATAGTACACCCAAAACATGATTAGCCTTCATTTTCTACTCACCCCCATGCTGAACAAAACTCTGGAGTACTTTTTTGATATCTCAAATGCATCTGGAGATCTGGGAGGCTTCTTGCTGTCTGCTGACATTCAAATAATGGAGGTCTATGGTGCCCGAGGCAGAAAGGTCCATAAAAGTCCACAAAAACGTGTCAATATTCCTCCATACTGCTCGTCCAATGTATTCCAAGTGTCCTGAGTGGGTAGCATCCAGAATTTACTCGAAACGAAGTCATTTAGAATGTTTTTAGAGCATAAACAGTAGTGTATAGGATTTCCTAATAGCGCCCCCATGCGCGCTCACGACGCTACGGAAGCCGGCAGAACAAACCAGCGCATTCAGCTCGGCAAAGAACTCATGCTCTTCCTCAACACTGAAGTCCTCAGACATTTTTCTTTCGTTGTTTCTTTCTTTGCACAGGTAAAAAGCACATTTCTTCTTCTACGCTTGCATTATCGGCAGAGCAGACGCTGAATGCACACTTTCTTCCGGTTTGGTCTGCCGGCTTCCGTAGAATCGTGAGCGCGCATGGGGGCGCTATTAGGAAATCCTATACACTACTGTTTATGCTCTAAAAACATTCTAAAGGACTTCGTTTCGAGTAAATTCTGGATGCTACCCACTCAGGACACTTGGATTACATTGGACGAGCAGTATGGAGGAATATTGACACGTTTTTGTGGACTTTTGTGGACCTTTCTGTCTCGGGCGCCATAGACCTCCATTATTTGAATGTCAGCAGACAGCAAGAAGCCTCCCAGATCTCCAGATGCATTTGAGATATCAAAAAAGTACTCCAGAGTTTTGTTCAGCATGGGGGTGAGTAGAAAATGAAGGCTAATCATGTTTTGGGTGTACTATTGCTTTAAAAGGCAGCAGCAACGACTTTCATGGATGTTATTCAGAATGCAATAAAACACATTTAACTAGAGATATTTAATACTAACCAATTTTTTTATAGCAAATCCTGTAAACAAAGAAAGATGAACTCAAAATTCTCCATAATAACTATATGATATAGATAGGATAAGAGTTTAGTGACCCAGGATTTTACAATCAGCTCATTGTCTACTAAAGAAAATATTTTTTGAAGACTTTATTGAAATATTAATTATGTTCTTGCACGGTGGAGGCTCTTTTGAATTTATTAGGTGCAATATTCATCATATTTAACTGGAGTTTACTGGTAACAGATGCACTTACACCTGCAGTTAATGAAAACACAGTAAGGTGGAAAAGAACACAGGAAATTATACACAATAAAGTTACATTATTTATGAGGTTTTGTTTTCATTCTTATTTACAGTTTCTCTAGAAATATAACTTCCAAAGAAAATAACTTATTACACAATGGTTTGGAAAATAAACCTATTCTGAATAACCCTCTTTTCAAGTATGAACCTTTAAGAGACGTATTGCTGAACAATTCCTATTGTAATACAGAAAAAGCAAGGAAGAGCAGAGCTGAGCTGACCATATAAGGATACCTTCTGTGGTTGAAAACTGAAACAACTCAAACATGATGAGCAAAATCACCAACGGGTAGTGCTAACTGGTTCAAAGATGCTGGACCTTCAGTCCCATCAGCTGGAGCAGACAGTGTTGGAGTCGAGAAGCACAGAGGTTGAGCCCAAACAATAACCAATCACTGACCAGTACTGCCGAGGACTATTTTAAATGCAAAGACAGCGATCACACAGGGAGTCAGATAAACACAGCATTTTTTCAACCATCTACAA